GCTGGTACTGCTGCCCCAGGTACTGCTGCTCCAGAATCTACTTCCCCAGCTGGTACTGCTGCTCCAGAATCTACTTCCCCAGCTGGTACTGCTGCTCCAGGAACTGAAGCTCCAGAAAGTACTTCCACTGCTGCGTCTTCTGTTGCTGCTGTTTCCAGCTACGAAGGTTCTGCTGTGACTCAAGGTAGCTCCTTATTCGCGTTACTTTTAGTTTCCTTAGTTCACTTTATCTAAATAGGTGACTGAGTAACTCAATATTATATTTAAATTCGGGAGGACATCCTATCATTTATTTTGATAAGTTCTTCATTACTTTAGGCCTTGAAATTTTACTTATTTTCTGAAACTACGGTTTGTACATATGTACTCTTTATTTCTATTTAAATTAATTATTTCATTTATTGGTTAATATCACATTTTGCATTCTTTACTGACGAAAATGTAAGCCAGTACTATTTGAGGTTGTATTTTCTGGCAATGAGCTGAATTTGTTGTGATAGCAATTCAAACAATTAGGAGTATTCGCGTACCTGATCTTGTTGTTCGGGCAACCAACATGAATGCTCTTAATGCATTGAAGACAATAAAGCGCGATATGCTATGTACGTCGTTTAAATCTTTTAGGAATAAAACTTCTGTAGCGCGCTAAATTGAGATCTGAAACCGTGTAAAGCGGCCGCCTATTGACAAAAAAAAAATGTCAAATTTCAGACTAGCGGTGTGTAGGATGTTAGGTTTTAACATTGTGTTTGAGAAAATATAATCAAAATAACTACAACAAAAAATAAATAGAATCTTAATTCAGTAGAAAAAAAACTTAAAGCATTTTGGTTATTATTCTCTAGATTGAGCAATATCCTCCATCTACTCTAATATCAGTTCCTGTAGTAAAGGAAGATGCATCGCTTGCTAAGTATAAATAAGCACCTACCAATTCTTCAGGTAATGCTTCCCTACCTAAAGGAGTTAAGCCCCACCATTTAGCCCTTTCGTGAGTCGGAACTGGATCCGATAATGACGTATTGGTATACCCAGGAGAAACAGTATTGACTCTAGCAAATCCAGAAAATTCAACTGCCAAAGACTTACCCATATGTAAAACTGCGGCTTTGGCAGAATTATAACAAGTTTGGTAGTTGGGTACATTTACAATATGAGCCGAGATCGATGCTGTGATTATAAATGAACCTTTTCCGTTCTTTTTGAAAATCTCTCCAGCATATTTCGCACAGTAAAATACCCCGTGTACATCGACGTCATAAACCCTTGCCCATTCTTCTGGGGTACTATCCTGATTTAGAATAGAACCCTTGTTCCAAGCAATACCTGCATTGGCAATGAACACATCAATTGTACCAAAATCCTCTTCTACCTGCTTTATGGTGGCTTTTACTTCTTCACATTTCGAAACATCAACTTGATAGGACTTTGATTTAATGCCATATGTTTTAGATAATCGGTCACTGATGCTAGGATCGAATATATAGTCCAAAATTACAATATCACTTCCAGCTTGTGCAAAACCTTCAGCTATAGCACCTCCTATATCACCAGCTGCTCCGGTGATAACAGACACCTTGTTCTCCAAGGAAAATTTATCTAATATATTCCTTGAGGTTGGTGCTGGTGGTGTTGCAGGAACTTTATTGTCTTCGTAATCAGCTTTGATGAGCGATTTATATTGCAGATCTGTTAGAGTCATTAAATGTCAATATCCTGCAATGAATACTAAAGAAAAAGCCCACTTTTTATAGAGTAATCAAAGAGGTAACTGTAAATTCTTATGAGAACAGAAATGGGATGAATCCTTGGAAAGCGGAGGTTGCTTTTCCATGCTCGTATTTTGCGCACGAAGATAACTGATTGCAAAATTCTTCGAAATCATAATTCGAGTATGGACAGACATAATGATTGGTTTTCACTACATATGAAGATACAATATTTTATTTATCCATATTGAAAATATATAGAATGCAAGACCAAAACATAGTATACTTTGAACACTTAGATTTTATCTTTCGTTCCTATATTTAATGATTCTTTTTTATTCACCGTACAACTTGATAGAAGTACACAGGTTAACATGCTACGCTGTATATTGTATGGGAATTGTAATTCGGTTATATGGTTAAACATAAACCATTAATTTAGACTGAATAGTCGCCCAAAACTTGAGTAAAGCAAAAAAAAGCGGAACCCATTTTCCCGTTTTCCGCTCCCTGGATGAACAGGGCTATTCACTTCACTATTGAAGGTAACAATAAATGTTGGGTGAATTGTTTTCAATATAAATAGCTATGTATTCTCCAATAAAATGTAGAGATTTCATACACATTAAAATTATACCAAGTTGAAAATTTAGTCTAAAATGCCTCAAAATATTAAAAGTATCATCGAACCAAAATTTGATAATCTTCCTACAAAAATACCAGATATTTCTAGTAATGTTTTTAATTTATTTTCGTTAAAAGGAAAGGTTGCCTCCATCACCGGTTCTTCGGCCGGAATTGGATTAGCGGTTGCAGAAGCCTATGCTCAAGCAGGCGCTAACATAGCCATTTGGTACAACTCTACTCCAGCAGATGACATTGCTGAAAGGTTATCTAAATCTTATAATATCACTGCCAAGGCCTAAAAATGCTCTGTTGACAGTTCTGAAGAGGTTGAACATACTATAGAAGAAATAGTAAAAGATTTTGGAACAATCGACATATTTGTTGCTAATGCTGGAGTTGGTTGGAAATCTTGTCCAGTTAGTGAGTCTTCCTTAGATGCATATCACAACGTGATGAAAGTTAATTTAGACGGTGTTTATTATGCAGCCAAATATGTGGGACCAATTTTTGAAAAGAATGGAAGAGGATCATTCATCATTACTGCTTCTCAAGCTGGACATTTAGTCACAGTTCCTATTGCCCAAGCTGCCTATAATGCAAGCAAAGCAGCTATTATTCAATTGGGAAAATCATTAGCAATCGAGTGGGTTCGATTCGCAAGAGTTAATACCATATCTCCAGGCTACATTTTAACCGAGATTGCAAAACATGTTCCATTCGATGTCAAATCAAAGTGGTGGCCCTTAATTCCAATGGGGAGAGAGGGCTCTCCACAAGAATTGGTGGGTGCATTCTTATATTTTGCTTCTGATGCATCCACATTTACTACTGGTGCAGACTTGATAATTGATGGTGGGTACACTGTCCCATAAGCTTAATTTATTTAATAATCTGCAGAAGAGTATTCAAATATATGAGACTCTTAATTCAAAGTATTAAATATACGATTTATAAGTAGAAGATTATCAAAGCTAATTATTGTTAGTTTCTGAAATTCCAATTATTCTATATTTCTTTAAATTCTGTAAAGCCATTAAAATAAATCGACTGATAAAGACAAAATCGATATTCGTATAAATTTCGGAACGTTATTGCGAAGAATTTCCTCTTTCTGGTTTTATAGAGTATTTCAGTGTTCGGGAACGATTATTGCCATAATTGGAAATGAAAAGTTCCACCTTACATGTATCGCTGGTATAAAATGCTGAGATAGCTAACAGAAAGTCAATTCTATAGAAATCCTGACTTCGCTAAATCTACCATCGGAATTTTTGGCTGCAAATTAACACTTACTGCAGATAGTCAGAATTATAGGAAGCCTTTATGGATCAGGAGAGAAGAATTTGTTCGAGTGACAAAAAGAAAAAGTCCTACATATGTAATATTTTACATCTGAGCACTATAGGACGTATAAAAGTTGTCCATAATTAACTCAATTAGGAAATCCAAAGTTACACCTTGTAATAAATAACAAGTACATGCAAGCTATAAAAGATAAAAGTATTTCTTTCTACTCGAGAACTCTATATTGCCGAGACACTCAACGGGAACACTCTTTCCGTAGTATTTTTGCGGAATCATTCTCATGAATCTAGACATGTTGTAGTCGAAATTGAAAATTAATTTGAACATCGATAATGCAAGAATAAATAATAATAAAATCATAAATAATACTCACCAGAATATCGAACAAGACATAGATTATATGTGCAAACGTATATACAAATTCAAATGTTTTTTAGGTCACAAGTTTGTAGACCATCGTCCTTGGGAGGCAAACAATTCTTTGAAGTTTATACTAACTTAGGACTTTGACAAAATTATCATAGAACTAAAATACGAACTGGTTTATAGGGTATTTACCGAAATATATAAAATATTTATTATAATATTCAGCTATAATTTGAAAAAAAAGTGCAATTCTGGTTTGGGGACACTGGTTTTTTTTTCTTGCATTTTAATTACTGCAAAATATTGAGTATGTAATGGAAGATGACTTTCCGCTTAGTTATTCATCTGTTAACAGTAGAGATTAGTATTAACATAAACAGATAGCTTGATATACCTCTTAGGTGATACAGGCATATCGATAAAAGCTATGACCATAGTCCTGCTGGTTATGTGAATACATGGAAAGCCCATTTCCGTTCCTCCTCCCCCGCAAAAAATGAAGCTATTAATGAATAATTAAATGCGCTGTAAAATTAATAATAAGCTATGAAATTCTATATAAATATCACTTATGTCACACGATTATCCAATGTTGGTAATATCACAACAGAATAATCAGAGAAATAATGATGAATAAAATCAACTTTGGGGCTAGCAGCTTAAACAAGATGTTTGATAAGTGTAACACTACTTATAATATATACATTATTGCCATAATCACAACTGTCTCAGGCATGATGTTTGGCTTTGATGTCTCGTCAATTTCTGCGTTTATATCAGAGCCTTCATATAAACTGTTTTTCAATTATCCAAATTCTACTACACAAGGTGTTATAACCGCATCTATGTCTGCAGGGAGTTTTGTAGGTGCTATATTATCATCTTTTATATCAGAGAAAATTGGAAGAAGGCCATCATTGCTCTTTTGTGCAATATTTTGGGTTTTAGGTTCTATAATTCAATCATCATGCAGAAATCTTGGCCAATTAATCGCTGGTCGTATCATATCCGGGATAGGTGTTGGGATCGGATCCTCGATAACTCCAATATATTGTTCAGAAGTATCACCAGCTCCCTCAAGAGGTGTAGTGGGAGGTATGTTCCAATTAGCGATCACTTTTGGTATATTAGTAATGTTTTATATTGGATACGGGTGTACATTTATTAGCGGACAATCTTCTTTCAGATTAGCTTGGGCATTACAAATGATTCCTGGTTTGGTTTTATTTGCTGGTGTATTCTTTTTGCCTGAGTCACCACGCTGGTTGGCAAATAATGACAGATGGGAACAAGCAGAAGAGGTTTTACGCAGAATTAACGAAAAGGACAAAACAGGAAGGTATTTAAATGAGTTGGAGGAATTAAAAGAAAGTATATCCATGTACAAGTTGTCTAAAGATGTCAAATACACTGAGCTCTTTAAGAAAAAGAATTATAAAAGTACTATTGTTGGAATTTCAGCTCAAATTTGGAATCAGCTTACGGGGATGAATGTGATGATGTATTACATAGTCTACATCTTTGAAATGGTGGGATTTACAGGAAATACAGTTTTAGTAAGTTCAAGTATCCAATATGTTATTAATTTCGGGGTTACTTTAATAGCTTTGCCCTTATCTGATTATTTTGGGAGAAGGAGATTAATGCTTGTCGGTGGTGTACTTATGATGACATGGCTATTCGCTGTTGGTGGCCTTTTTGCAACCTATTCCAAGAAGGTGGAGAACATTTCTAGCGATGCGACGGTGGTAATTACTATTCCAGAGGAACATAAAAATATTGGCAAGGCTATTGTTGCTTGTTCTTATTTATTTGTAGCAACTTTTGCTAGCACTTGGGCTGTCTGCTCATGGTGTTATTTTTCCGAGGTGCTACCCACCAGGACAAGATCTAAAGCAGGGCTGTTAGCAGTTGCCTGTGATTGGGCGGTCAATTGTGCGATTGCCCTCTTCACTCCTTCAGCATTTAGAAATATCACTTGGAAAACTTACTTTGTCTTTGGCACATTCTGTGGTGCTATGACTATTCACACCTTCCTTTCATATCCTGAAACACGAAAAAAGACACTAGAGGAAATCGATATTACATTCCAAAATAGTATTCCACCTTGGAGATCAGCTAATTTTGCCATCCAAAGTCTTGATGATTCTTTGAGCGATTCCAAGGAGTACAACTTAATGCATATCGAAAATGTAGTGGAGTCCAAGTATGTTAATTGACTGTATAGCTTATAATATAGATATTTAGTATCAATAAACTAAGCCTATATTTACTATTTTACGTTCTAAATCAAACATTTCAATTACTTAAAATATATTACTCTCAATTCGAGCTGCTTCAGTAATATATATCTATTAGTGGTTATTTTCAAAGGCATCATAATGATATCACTTCAGATATACTCATAACAAGAATTATAAGTATGTATTCGTTGAATCCATGATCTATGTATTAAAATTGGTGCTTAACTTCATGACACAAAGTGAATTAAGTACATAGAATATATATTTACTTATTCACAATTAACGAACAATAAACATTTTTTCGACGAAGTATACTGCAAAACATCTAACCGTATCACTACCTAATTCAATATATTATATACAAGTTTATCTATATATATATATATATATATATATATATTGAGGGAATCACACGATCTTGATATTTCGATTCAGAAATATATAGTTTGGCTTTCGTGCGTGGTATAAAGTCAATTGATTTATTTTGATTAAATATTATCAATGAGTAATGCTTGTGATTTTTGTCGTCGGAGGAAACTAAAATGCTCAAAGGAGCTACCCAGATGTTCTAGCTGTATCAAGTTTAATAAAGAATGTGCTTATACTCCGCGACAGAGACCAACACCTTTGACGAAAGCATATGTACACCAACTTCAAAAGCGGATTATCAGTCTAGAAAGTGCATTGGAGAAACTTTCAACTCCAAACCTGGAAAATAATGTGTTACTTGAAAATCATCCAACAATCGATCATGATCGCAAAGAAGTAAATAGAGAGCTGATTTACATTGATGATTTTCCGGCTCGATTCTATGAACCAAATATCCAAGAGGGGCCAAATTCTGTTAATAGTGAAACCTATGATTACTTCAAAGCTGAGGATTTTCTATTTTATGAAGATTTCTATAATGTAGACGATTTAGACTGGTATGAGAAAGACCCAGCTTCAACCAATGACGAAATACTGCCTATAGATACAAGTATAGATAACAATTCCCCTGATAGCATACCACATTCCACAAATGGACTAGTAGATGGTATGGGTGCCTTATCTATTGGAGACGAATCCCACTTTATAAAACCTCATTCTTTTTATGGAATAAGTTCGAGTAATGGACTTTTGAGATTTTTGAAAAGTTCAGATGACGAAAGAAATGAAAACAATCCTATCTATAAGACTAAGCTGGATTCCAAGTATTATTCAAATCTAGGGTTGATGTATGATCAAAATAATTTTAAATTGCTTAAAAGTGAAAATTCCGATATTAAATGATCACAGTTTTCGAACCGAACTTATAACTTCATATTTTGATAATTATCATTGTTATTATCCATTTATAAAAAAAAAGTCTTTCTTAGACGATTATGATGTATCTAAATCAACGTCAATTGCAAATCCAAATCCAAATTTAAATTCCATCAAAGATATTTCTTTCCAGGTTTTACTTAATACGGTACTTTCTATTGGCGCATTATGTAAATTTGGAGAAGCATCAATTATTGATTTGTTATATTATAAAAGAGTTAAGTCAACATTACAAGAAATTAATATCATGGAATGTGGTAGTTATCAACTATTGAATGCATTCATTTTATTAGGAAATTACGTACAAAAAAGAAACAAACCGAACACTGGTTGGAACTATCAAGGACTAAGTTTGAGGATGGCTATTAGTCTTGGTCTTCACAAAGAGATAAATACGACTGAAAACTCGAATTCCCATAGTTCTCGTTTCTTTGAAGCTCGTGAAAGAAGAAGAAGGTTGTGGTGGGGACTATTCTTTTTTGATGTTGGATTAACTATTACTTTTGGACGTCCATTGCATTTGCCTCTTCTAGAATCAATTGATATAAAATACCCATTGAATGTTGAAGATATAGAGATTGAAAATTTAAAAGAGGGTTATAACCCACATACGCTCATTAAACCATATCCTACCATCTATGCCGGGATACAACAAGAGGCAAGGCTTTCAAAAATTTCCTATAGAGTTTATAGTTATATCACTAAAGTCTGTGGTGCTAACGTTGAAAATACTAAATTGAAAATGTCAGGATTAATTGAATTGAATAGTCTAATTATCGCATTTGCTAATTCATTACCTCAGTATTTTAAAGAAGATGATACGATGGCAGCAAAATCTTTAAAGGAGGTTTGTCCCCCTACTTGGTTTAAAATAAGTCTAGATGGCACTTTAAGTATCCCTAAATGGTTTGATTTTACAAGGAGACGAATAATATGGAGATACAAAAATATTCAGATATTGATGTTTAGAAGCTTTATTTGGGAATCAGGAAAGTTTTTTGATAAGAATGAAATTGAGCTAAATTATTATTCGGATTCAAAATTAAATGAATTATTAGATTCATGTATGAGAACTTGCTATCAAGCAGCAAAAGATACTATAAACTCTATTAGTGATTATGTATCAACTTGTGAGGTAGATATTACATCTTCATGGTATGCGACTTACTTTATTTTTCAGGCTGTCTTGATACCAATACTATTAATCTATAAAAGTTGTTCCAAAGCATACAATAGAGACGTCAATCTGTGGATAAATGATATTGAACAAACTAAGAAAACCTTAATCAGTTTGCAGGCGTTTAACAGTCTGGCTAAAAATTTGGTTGAAACAGTTAGTCTTTTAACTCAACCTATTATAGAGAATATGAATCAAATCCACAAAGATAGCGCCATCGATAATAATTCAATTATAGAAGAAAGGGACTCTCGCAAAGGTTTAGATATTTCCGATCTTCCTTCTGCAACTATAAATTTATTTTCAAATGTGGGGGTTTATTTTAGTTCCAGAGTTGATTCTAGCATGCTTACTATGGGATATGAACAATCTGATCAATTCATCCCTGAGAAATGTGAATCTAATGAAAATAAGCGTAATGAAGAATTGTTGTCATCAGAAGAAGCTGTTATAAGCAACTTTTTACAACAAGAACTATTCCCAAATGATCCGATATTTGAAAATAGCCAACAATATCAACATTACTACGGTTTTGATTTTGATAGCAAAGACGGATAAATAGGCGAAGAAATTTAAGTTTATGCCTTTTCTTTTTTTGAATCCAGTGTTTGAGGATGAGACTTATTAATAGATCTTTCCTTGTTTAGTAAGGACGTAAATCTCGAATTAATACAAAGCTGATATTTTAAGTTGCCCGGCCCACAGTTCTACAAAACAATTAGTTCAATTTTACCAGTTAAATATTTTCTACAACGATAAACGCATAGACAATTCAGAGAACTCTAGCTTATTCTAGGTATCTATCTATCATTCCTTGAGAATTCATTATTCAGGTAATAATGTCACTTTCCAAGAGATAATAGATCAGCAGACACAATAGCAATTCACTATGCGACAATATTTCACTTTTTATATTTTTTCATTTGTTTGAAAGGAAAGAAACTTATCAAAAAATGCATAAAATATTAGTTGTATCACCATTACACAGAAACTTGTCTTGAAATTCATTAGAGTAAATTAAACCCAGCAAGAGTTTGGAACTTGCTCGAGTAATAACTCTCGAACCTTGTCTACCACCAATATTAGCTTAGATCTACACAATAACACGTTTGGTCTGAACTTCTTTTATTTTAGTTGTTCATTTCTTATTACTTTTCACTCTTTTAATCATCGAAGTTCCACCTTATATTAAAGGAGAATTAGACTAGTGTAGCATATTAAGCGAGGTCACGTGGTATAGCTTTAAAGAAAATATCTCATGACTGGTTAGAGCAGCAATTGTTTGAATATTTTCGAAGTCTTTATTCTATACAAGCCCAATATAAGTTTCATGATATGGTAATTAATATTAAATAGACTAAAAATATCTGATAACAGAGGAAGCTATATTCATATTGAAAAATAGAATCAAATGCCTACAGATAAGAGCTGGTATGATGCAGTTTACCAGCTGACTAATCTTGTCGTTAGGGATACCTACAATATATTGGCAGATCTTCAACGATATACTCCTGAAGAGGCATTTACGACGAGGTTGCTAGCTATCATTTCGTCAACGATTTCAATTTTTGCAGGTATTATTGGTATATACTTTTTTTTGGCTATTGATTATAAGAAGCGGGTATTCAGGCATCAATTAATTTTTTTCTTAATATTGTACGACTGCATTAAAGCGTTGTTTCTACTACTATATCCAGCAAGAGTTCTTGCAAGGGCCTCTGTATATTATGATTTGAAATTTTGCAAAGTTGTGGGATTCTTTACAGCATTATCTATTGAAGGTTCTGATATTGCAATCTTGAGTTTTGCTATTCATATCGCGTTGTTAGTCTTCAAACCTAATCAGACAGTTAGGCGTGGCATGAGCTATGAAGGAGGGTTGTTTCGATATAGATACTACGTGTATGCCATATCTATTCTTCTCCCAATATTACTTGCATCCCTAGCCTTCATCAATAGTATGGGCTATGAACCTTTAACAAATTGGTGCTATATACCGACGCGTCCACTTTGGTACAGACTTGTCTTGAGCTGGATACCTCGTTATTTGATTATTATTTCAATTTTCGTTATATACGGATGCGTCTATCGTCATGTAACAAAACAGTATAATAATGTCGGAAATACAATGATTGGAACTGATGAATCAAAGAACGAGAATATGTCCATATGGAAAAGGTTTTGCAAAGCTTTAGGCTTCGTGTTATTTTTGAATGTTCTTCTGTCTGACTCCCCTAAAATGGACGAAAATCAACCAAATGATGCACATATCGAAAACAATCATAATTTAACACCCGAGAATCTTAACGATGACACATTGCAACAATTCAGAAAGCGGCGGTTACAAGTCGAGAGGCAAATGAAAACAATATTTATTTACCCAGTTTCTTATATTTTTTTATGGGTATTCCCGTTGACTGTCCACGCACTTGATTTCAAATATGGTATTTCCAGGAAGCCAATAGTATGGCTAAATTCAATTTCGGCATTTATGCAGCCACTTAACTGTACTGTTGATACTATTGTATTTTTGATAAGAGAAAGACCTTGGAATATTATAACAAGCGAAGTAGATACCTCGCCAACTGAAAACTATGCATATCCTCGCTGGAGACATTTGATATCCTTTCTTCCTTTATTTTCCTTACCTAAACCTCATTATACTCAAGAATCAGAACTTAAAGATACCTCCGATATTGCATTTACTAACTCCTACAGTGATTCGAACTTCCACGACTACTCAAAAATTCTTTCAGGTACGCATCACATTCCTAATAGTAAGTCCGCCCGCAAGGAACTTAATAATAGCGATTCTTTTATATCTCCAAATGAGGGGTTTCAATACGAAAATTTAGGAAAAAGATATAGTTCCGAACATAATAAATCTGACCAAGAATCTGCTGAAGAGATGGATTTTACGGAATTTTTAAAGATGGGACCAGTTCGGTAACTCTTAGTGATAGATTCATCAAACATTAATAAATTAGATACGGTTAAATAATTATTAAAACTACTAATATAATCAATTTTATTTTATATATATGGAGCTTGACCTACTTCTTAGTATTAGCATTCTTCATTGCTGTAGATTTAACCCTTGGAAACCATATATTTTATATTGTATATTTATGCAAAACTTAACCAAATAATTTGAAAGAATCATTAGTGTTGATAATTTCTTCTTCTTTTTCATTATTATGCTCTTCATCTTCTTCATCTACTTCATTCATGTTAACTTTCTGGCCTAATAATGATGCGAAAAACTCATCAATTTGAGTATCATCCCATTTCCAAGCTCCTCTAGGAGCTTCAAAATTAGCAATCTGTTCTTGCACATGATATCTTAATTTACGGCCCTTCGAAGCTTTGGTATCAATGTTCTTTTTAAACTTTTGTGCTTGTTGGACACTTCTTAAAGATACAGTTAATCCAGAGGCTGGATCGCTAGATTGAATTTTTTTGTCCACGAGGTCATTAAGCAAAACACGGTAAAAATCCTCATCATCAAATATATTGGCAAGCTCAGATAAATCCAGTTTGTTTGTTTGTTTGTTTTCCCTTGGAATATCTGCTTGATCATCTATAGATTCTTGTTCAGTTACTTCATTTTGATTTGTGTAGTATTCATAACCCAAGGGTTTGACTTGACGCCTGTTAAGTTTTGTTCTTTTAATAAGTCTATCCATGTCAGACAAATTGTTGATAACCTGTTGCTCGGCTGATTGATTTATAGCCTTAAATTTACCAGAGCTTATAGCTGTGGAACCTGCCGCGTTGTGAATTTTAGATGACCATTTAGTTAACACAGAGCTTCTATATTTTTCCAATGCAGTATCTTGTTTCCCTGAAACTTCTAAATAGTCAGTTAAAGTTCTTTTTTTAGGATTAAACGCTTTAGTCAATTCAGATGATGATATGACAGAATCTTTCTTTAAAAGTTTCGATCTAATTGCTATAATACTATCCAATAAATCAAAACATTTTTCTTGTGCTTGATTCAAATATTTATCTGTCTTTTTAGTAGCAAAGCGTTCTTTCAAAATTCCTTTTTCTATAGGCAATACATTCGAATTTGTGAGGGATTTCTGCACTTTCATACGACTATCAATGATAGAATCAAACAACTTATGTTGCTGCAAGATCGCATAACCCTTGACGGCGTCATTAGAGGCCGACTGTGACAATCTGTTAACGATATGTTTACGTTCATTAGACATGAGTTCTTTCAACTTAGACCTCTTATGAGTTAAATTTGAACCTTCTTCCCTCTTTGCTTCATCTTCATCCTCACTATCAGCTTCATCATCTTCATCGTCTTCATCGTCTTCATCTTCTTCAGACTCGCTTTCAGAATTGCTTTTCAAGGAGATACCCGACTCACTACCTTCTAAATCCTCTTCCTCATCGAAGCTTCTGGATCCCTCAGATTCGTATAAGTCGTCTCTGTTAGTCACTTTACCGCCGTATGTCTTGCCCAAGTTCAAGTTGTCACTTTGCTTTCTAAGTTTTGACTTGTCAAGGCTAACATAGTGTTGTTTCTTTAATGTTTCATCGTCAGACAGGTCCGAGTTCAGATGGTCATCATCGTCATTATGATCGAAAACATCGTTTCTTAAATCATTATCTTCAATATCGAATTCAGTTGAAGGTTTACTCAACTCAGCTATCTTCTCAGCAAGGCTTCTCTTTCCCATTAGATCTATGACTATATCAATTAAATACTATGTCTGTATATTTGGTACATATAGATCTTCACTTTTTTTAGCTGAAAATTTTGAGCCGCACCATCTCCCTATGTGATTATATAATCTAGACAGAACAACTTTTATGATACTACGACTTTCCCTTCAGGCATACTGGAGGCAAAAAATTGGAGACCCGTAAACACCATGATAAACATCTTCTTGAGTCCTCTTGTGGGCGTATGTAAAGAAATTTTTTACTTATAGTTTACCCACCTTTTGCTTTTTAAGTAAATTTTACGTTAGTTGTAAAATTAAGAGAGAGCTTGAATACAATGCTTAATGAGGTCCATATAGAAACACCTGTATATATCATATACACGTCTTTAGGAATATAGTTCGCTTACATCGTGGAATGTCTCAGGTACTTCAACTTCTTTGTATGAATAAAGCCAATTTTACCGTGGCTATGTGATCACGTGAACGGATTGTTCAATATCATTTTCTGAAAATCACCAAAGCAGTTGAATAAGATTTTAATAACTTGTTTTTCCTTCTGTTAAGTTCAAATAATTGAAGAATAAACTAATCTACCGTGTTTAAAAACGAGAAATTTTACCTTGAGTTTTAAGTAACACTCTAAATAATAACTACATAATGAGATTTTTTAAGTACCTTTTTGGCTTCATATCCATGTTGACCTTGATATTGGCAGCAGACAAAACTACCAAGAAATCATCTACTACGGTCTGGGTCACTACCACAATCAAGGGTGAAAAGACAACTATGCAAACAATATATGAACAGTCATTTAAGTCAACATATGCCACTGCAGACGAGGGAGATGTTAAGTCGGGTCAAATTGGACTTGGCTCTATTAGTGGAAATGTTGGTGATGTAAGAAGTTATGAACATACAACAGTGGGACAATCAAATGCAGCTGTTGGGCTTTTTAAGCCGGAAAATATCTATTCGGGAATAGCTGGTGTTTCCTTTTTGCTTTTAGGGGCCTTACTTTAAGGACCTTACTCAAGAGCATGTTACTAAACTATACAGCACGATCTCCTATAGTTAAATCTCATTTCAATGTTTGCTTAATCGAAGACGTTGAATACGTATCTGGTATACGATAAATAGACTTTTCAGAAATGATGAAATACATGTTGTTATAAATAATAAACTACAAAGGTCACAAAAATTTTATAATGTGGACTGGTATTAATGATAACGCTTATCAGCTATACATTTATGTCTATCGTTTTCATTTATCTTATCTTTATAGCTAGGTTTTAATAATCTTGAAGAAATACAAAGTTCTAGTCTGTAATATACGCGTATGTTTGGTATTTTTCACTGAATTACGTTCCGAAAATTACTCGCAATTTTTTTTTTCGTTTTCGCTGAACATCGTCAACTTTGTGGACTTCATCGAAAAGCGATTTTACATTAAACGCCTAGTTAACATTTATTTTCATAAGTAAAACATCCAAGGAAACATTAAAGTATGTAGTGAGCTTCATCATAGTCTTAGCGAGGAAAAAAGCATCACTTTTAGAACCATTTTAAATGCATTGATTGTATCAATTTTCTCGAATAAGGTCAGAAGTATGAATAAAAGATTTTACTAACAAAAATAGCTAAGATGTCTGAAGAATTATCTAAGCAAACTGAAGAATTGTCTTTAGAAAACAAGGACACTGTTTTAACGAATAAGGAAGAATTTACTGCCAAGCATCCATTAAATAACAAATGGACTTTATGGTACACCAAGCCACAAGTTAATAAATCGGAAAACTGGCATGATTTATTAAAACCAGTCATCACATTTTCTTCTGTTGAAGAATTCTGGGGCATCTACAACTCTATTCCTCAAGCAAACCAATTACCTATGAAGTCAGATTATCATTTATTCAAAGAAGGAATTAAACCAGAATGGGAAGATGAACAAAACTCTAAAGGTGGTAAATGGCAATTTGCCTTCAACAATAGACGTGATGTTGGATCAATTATCAATGATTTATGGTTACGTGGTCTTTTATCTGTCATTGGTGAAACTATTGAAGACGATGAAGATGAAGTTAACGGTATCGTTTTAAACATTAGAAAGCAAGTCATTAGAATTGGTCTCTGGACAAAGGACTGTGATGAAACTAAATTAAGAACCGTAGGTGAAAGATTGAAGAAGATCTTAAAATTAACCGAAGAACAAAAACTTGATTTTATGTCACATGAAGACTCTGGTAAAAAGGGAGCTGAACCTTTAATTTCATTATAAGTTTGAAAATTTTAATTATATACTGGATAACAAAGTTCAATAACAGGGAAAGCTTTGAGATTATCTTTTATTTACATAATCTTCCCGCAAATTTATCATTAGTATGATTTATCAATTTAATTGTCGTGCTACAATTCTATTACGAAGTATTTAGCTTTATATTTTTATCATTGTTATTCTATCTGTATACATATAAATTTACGCTGATCTATTAACGAAACCAGAACTTTATATTTTAATGTACAATAGGGTTCACTTTGTTATCTACAAAGTCTTGAATCTTCTCCCAATATGCCGGCTGAATAACCGTATCATTATGCAGCGAATTTTCAAACTTATACATTACTTTATCGTCACTTTTTGATAATGAAAATATACGATCCATATGTTCTGGTGGAACGATTTCATCCTTACGTGCACTTAGCAATAAAACAGGAATACTGGAAGAAATCGTACCGACTAATTTTTCCAGATCCCAAACTTGATGAATAAATATGGCAAGATATTTTAACATTGGAAAAATATGGGGAACAGTTTTTCTAATCGATAAAAACGTGTTCTCCAAAATAATGCCCTTAATAGAGGGTCCCATTGTAGCAGCAATATAAATACCAACAGCACCTCCAAGCGATCTTCCGTACAATACTATTGAAGATTGTTGGTATTGTTCATCCTCGATTGTCAAGTATTGCATGATTCTTTGAGCGTCAATCTTTAGTCCTTTCTCCGAAGGTTTGCCAGTAGATTTACCATACCCACGATATGAATATATGAATACATTATAACCGAAGTTTGAATAAAACATGGAAACAATTGGTAATGCATGCCCGATGTTACCTGCGTTCGGTGAAAGAATTAGAATAGTTTTATTACTGTATGAGGGCGATTCTTGATTCTGTTTTAACAGGTAACACTGTAAATTTTCTCCATCTTCAGTCTTTAAATTCACCAATTCATAATCCGGCATCCCATATTCATCAGGAGTTGCACAATATCCATGTCCATCATTTAATGATGCAGGGTATATTAAACTGGATTGATAAGAATATAACCCTATAAACAAAGTTACACCTATTGATAGTGCTATTTGTGCCATATATGACATGCCTCTAATTAACTAGAATACACTTGTTGCAAAAGTATATAGGCTTGAATTCTTCAGTAACAAGATATAGCAAGTTCGAACGTGACGAAAGTAAATTGGTGAGAGAATTGGTGATAACACTAAATCGATGCTCTATCTAACGGCTATATTTTGATTTCCTGGTAATACAATTGATAGTCACCAAGGATTGTAATGCCTGATCCTAATGATGTAAATCAGCTGAGCTTAACGAGGTTTGCTTTCAACATATATGGGGCGTTGAATCAAGCGCAATCCTTTGACGGTGCTTCTTCTACTTCACCAACACCATCGATGAACCCCAAGCAGCACCCCAAGACAGAAACTGTACCATGTCGTAAAAAGAAGCTAGTTTATAACTTTGAAAGAGAGGTATCATGTATTTCTCAATTTAACTATTCATTGAACGGTTTAGTAAAAAATTATGAGGAAGACCCGTTGCATCATTTAATAATTGGCGGAAAGAATTATTTGAAGCTATTAGCTTTGAATAATGATCAAACAAAAATTGTTCATGAGATTGATATATTAGAGCTGAGCAAATCTATGTATTCATCTTCGAGAACTTTATCAAGCTCCAAGCTCACAAGTGTAAATACAATTGAATCGCAAAACGACACTATTGCATGCGAGATAGCGACAGGGTTAATTTCAGTATACAAGGTTCAAAATAATGGGAAATGTAAATTAGTCAGGAAATACTCGGATCATAAAAGATGTGTGAACTCTTTAGACTTCATAAACCAACTGAATTTTACAGATTCTTCTCTGCCATATCAATTGATATCTGGCTCGCAAGACGGGACTATAAAGCTATGGGACTTGAGGTCTGCTTCTAATAAGCCTACACTAACAGTATCATCTAATTCGCATTCTGATCCTGTTAGATCGTGCCAATATTCACCTCATTCTACTGTTAGAAATAAGATTACAATATTATCGGTCCATGATTCGGGTGCCCTATGTAAATATGATTTACGGTCTCCAAATGGTGGGTATCAACATAATATTAGTGTGCCTGAACGTAAATGGAATTTTCATACTGGACCAGCTTTATCTTTAAATATACACCCTGAAAAGGAATATGTCATAACTGGTGGAAGAGATCAAAAGGTTTGTATTTGGAATTATGGGGATTCTCCTACTCATCAAAATAAAATGAGCCCAGATTACATGATCAATACTTATGGACCTGTAATGAAAATAAGGTGGTCAGCTTATCCAGATAATATATCAAGTAAAACAGATACTCCATCAAACCAATACCAACAGATGCTAGAATCAAAACGATATGATGATAAAACTAGTTCCAATGAAAGAGAAACTATTTCTACAATGTCCTCAATGTCTAAAAATAATCCATTGTTTAATTACGATTTTGCATGCCTGTTTCTCAACGAAGACCCAACTATTTCAATCTACAATTTGAAAAGAAAATACATTCCAAAAGAAGTTATATCCAGCAATTCTAATAAACCGTTCCAAAATTTTATGTGGGCAAGAAATTTTTCAGGGTCCCGAAGGATATGGACTATCACTAAGTCAAACCAATTCACCTCTTATGATTTGGATACCGCTCAGTCAGATCCTAATATAATTAAACCATTAGATACTCTAACTAATGTTTCAATGACATGGAACAGTGGACTTGGAGATTTGTGTTTTGTGAACCAAGAAAAGGAAGAATTTGAAAGTATCTCCCAATTCGAAAATGAATCGTTCAAGTCTGAGAATGAAGAATATGACCCTGAATTTGCATTGATTCTGGAAGGGGGTGGTCTTTCATCGAACAGTGGTATAGATGACCATCCAACAGATGAACGTTCATTAAAATATCGTATATCTTCTAATTCCTTAGATAATTCTTCGATTTACAACAATCCTTCAAAACTCACGGTTGCATCAATACCTATAGCTTCAAACCCATCGAACACGCCACTATCCTATCAATACCCTTCATTATCAAACTCCGTATCTCCACCTTTTGAACATGTTACAAAACCGCTACTTCAAAGAGCTTCAACACATAATCCAATGATACAACCTCCCAAGCCGCTATCATCTATACTTCAGAATAGAAGTTCTTTAGGAATCGAAGCTTTGATGGAGTACGGAAATAATAATTCAGGAAGCAATAATGCTAGCGTTTCTGGAAATCATTTAAGACCTACATTGAATAGGAATCATTCTCAATCAACACAAGGATCTAATGTGTCATTAAGTTCGTCAATACAAGCATACCAAGCACCACAGCCATCAGCTTCGAAAAGAGTTATTTCAGTTAATCACCCTTCACCATATATAATTCCATTATCTCTTCCCTTGCCTCAAAATGACGAGCATGCATTTGAAATATTGTCTAATAATTATTTGATTACGGCAAGCGATGGACTTAATTTGATTGATGTTTGTTTGTATAATGCAAATATTGCAGCAAGTGTAAATAAATATAGAGACAGTCAAACTTGGAGAGTGTTGGCTGTTGGGTTAGAAGACGATAAGTCTTGTCTTATCAATTATGAAGACAATCTTCCAAATCATCCCACAAAAGCAGAAACTACAGTCATATATGGCTCGCTGGATGCATATGACCAAGATAGCGAAGTTTCTAATAGTATTACACAATTAAACCAGACGAATGACAACAGATCAATCATCTCAGAATTGGATAATTTTGTGGGATCTTACAACTCAAATTCTACGCTGACTTCAAATTATGGAGGTATACATTCAGACAAAACTGCAAATAGTAGTGAATTACCAAATACATATAAGAAAGTTGAAGATGCTAGTAATATTGGTCCCAAGAAAGCTTCATTTCCGGAGATCAAACCCTTGAGCAATATAAACTCGCCCGGTCATCTTAGAGACGTATTAAGCCAAAATCGCTCAAATAGTAATAGCTCTGTCATATCGAGATCAAATAGCACGCTGCTAAGAAATAGGAATACAATAAACACTAGGTCTCTGATAATAGACAATGAAAGTGCAATCGATGATGATGAATTGGTTGACGCTAAGGCTTCCGAAGGGAACGAAGACAACCATCAATTTAATACGAAAAATTCTGAATTAAAGAAACACTCATCAATGTCCGCAATTAATTCAGAAGTCATGGATAACTTCTTGTGCAATACGCAGAATCCAAAGTCTTCTCCGATTAAAATTGAGCTAGAGAAACACGAAAAGGGTAGAAGTCTTTCTGGGCTGACTAGTCCCCATAATATTCATCAGCCAAACATTATTAAGAATCGGCGAAGATCATCTCTTGATCCAGAAAACACAAGAAGGAATTCTAGCAATAAATTCAACTATAGACATACCAACGCATGGGATTTGGATAATGAGAATTCTAACATATTAAGTAATAGATCACAGTGGGCCACTAATAGCTCATTATCTTCTTGTGGTATATCTTCTTACCAACCACGAATAGGTAGTCCAAACTATTCTGATCAATTACATCATTCATATAGCTCTACTTACTCATCACCACGGCCTTATTATAATACTACTACTCCTGGATCATCAAGAAGAAATTCACATATCTCACCTGTTCATGGGTTCCATAATAAAACTTCATATTCTAAGCAATCGCCTGTTGCTCAAAAAGTAATGAGAGACGAGCAAGCTCGTTCAGAGTTGAAAGATGTACAAGAACAAATAGAAGATCAAGAATCAATCGAAGATACCAGAGTGGCGTCGATTAATTTTGGTAAGTCAGGATTAACCAGAGCCATTACTGAGAATAATCAAGCATCACCTAATACCGTGTATAAACCGTGGAAGACCGAGAATCTATTGGAAGAAGCTTTGGAATTTGCATCTTTACAAGGTGACATAGTGTTATGTTCTACTTTAACTATATTATTTTACGATTACTTGAAAGTTGGAAAAGATTCAAAAGTTTTCACGAAAGAACAAAGTTTGGATTGGTTGTCATTGTACGTCGAGATACTTCGTAGGAAGCAGCTATTTTCAAATGCAATGTATGTTATTAATATGGCACCGAAGGAACTACTTCCTGATTTAGCTAATCTTACAAGTACTGAAGTAAATTTAAGGTTTTTTTGTTGTTGGTGCCAGAGACTTTTAGTGAATGACAAATCAAAGCGAAAGGCGTTAAAAGATGATAGTTTTGGTTATTGGTATTGTGACGAATGTTCTACCAAGCAACTGAATTGTATATATTGCCATGAACCTTGCAAAGGTCTTAACATCGTTACCAGTCTTAGCTGTGGGCATAGGGGACATTTTGGATGCTTACGAGAATGGTTTGTGGACCAAGAGAATATCGAATGCCCTGGTGGATGTGATGAGCAAGTTGTTTAATTCAAAATGCATATACATTAGTTATCATATTAATACGATATCACCTATTTCTATATATCTTTTAATTAGGCTGTATTTCACAACGTAAATACCATTCTCAACTAATTCCAAATCTTCATCTTCATCCAAATTGATTATAATTGGTACTCTAGTAACCACCTTAATAAATACAGGTTGATTAATATCAGGTACTGATATCATTGACTGACCACCACTGGTATCATCTAGCAATGTCAAAAAATGTGGCATTTTTTTCAAAAAACTATTATTGTATAATTGAGTCAAAATCTTAAAGTGTTTATGCATATAATCGGTTTCTTCTGGCGATAAAAGTGACCTATCATCCGTTGAATCCTCGTTAGATGTTTCATTAATATAATGTATTGTGAATTTATCAATCTTTGCTAGTCTCGTTCGGAGGTATAGCCTTACCAAATAGTTTAACCTTTCTATATCTGTTTCTATTATCATTAATTGTAATTTAAAATCCCCAGTCACGATGCCTGATTCTACGTTTGAATCACCATATTCATGAGAATCTAACAAGTATTGTTGTTGATTCGATAATTGTGTTAGTACTTCTTTCAATAATTCATGCTTATAAGGTAATAAATCTGGAGACATTCTTTCATTTAGCATGACAGCCACAAGTTGATCATATAGATTCTCTGGGCTACGGGACCCGTATTTAGAGGATTTTGAACGAGCATTAGAATCATCAAACTCTTGGAGAATGTCATCGATATCTAAATCTTTATTCATCTTCCTTGAATTATTGTATATTATCGAAAAGTGCTTATCGAAAATTCATCTGTTAGATCGAGAGAATAATTTTTGGTTTTCAAAGCGCGTTATTATGGTTTCTAAAACAAATTTATCTTTACAAGCACTATTTGGAGCCACTATAACTCTTTGAATAATGGATAGACAATCTCTATTGGAACAAAAGAGACAAAGACTACAGGAATTGAAACAGCGGAGACTAGGCACTGCTAGTAATGATGATAAGTTAGTTAATGAGCTAATAGATCAGTTTCAGACTTTACCAAATCAACGTAACCCGAAGCAAGTTAATGTCGCTATTCAAGTAGATATTACTCCTCAAGAACAGGAAAGTAGCTATATAAATAGTGGTACTCCTGTGCATAATGAAAATTCAAATACAAATGAGAATAATATTATTACTTACGATAAAGCCATCCAAACAGTCGATGAACCGTCTGATACAGAAAGTGAGTCCAGAACTACAGTCGTTGAAGGAATAAATGAAGACGAAGAAGCAATTGAAAGTGCTCCTGTGGTTCAAATAGAGGAATCTAAATTAAATGCTTCCATGAAACAATCATTCAAGTTCCTTAGTAAAATAATTACTCAAGAAGCTCTTGACTCAAGCATACTCAAGAATTATACAGATGATGATGATTTGAAGAATAAATTTGGTAAAACTATGGACGAAGAGATTTCTAAAAGTGACCCTTTCCAATTGAATCTTGACATTCCCCCCATTAAAGGTCGATTGGTAAGAGATATTGATACATCTCCTCATTTTCACGAACTAATGGTTGCCTCTTATTCACTTGAAAATTCTAGTATAAACCAACTAATTTCAAGTCAGCTACATTTCGATAACGTTACTCAGTCCCCTGGCCTCGCAATAATCTACAACGTAAAAAGTTCAAAAGCATTTCCTGAATATTTTTTGCATTGTAGTTCATCAATAACCAAAATAAAATTTGATAAAGTGAATCCACGCAAAGTTATCGGTGGCTTGTCGGATGGTAAAGTTGTTATTTGGGATCTACTGGATAATCGAAGGAATAGTGTTGCCATTTTACCCCTGTTAATGACGCCTGTTTTATCAAATATTGCGTCGTCAATAATAAATAATTGCCAGCAAACAGTTAATTTCGTACACCACAAGAATGAAATTTCATCTATTAATCAGATACTGGTAGAACACAATGAATGCATTATTTCCACATCTCTAGATGGCGTTATTAACCTTTGGTCTTCTAATTTATTAGCATGGCCAAAAATTAGTTCTTTAAAACTAAGCAAGCCAATTAATAATGCCGAAACATACGTAAAACCGAAAGAAATACTAACGATTTCAAATGTTTTAATGTTACGAAAAGAACCTGATCTCGCAAGATCTGTGAAAAAAGAACTTTCTTCGCAACCTCCAGCCTATAAGTTTTTGAACAGATTATTAGTGGGAAGTGATGATGGTAAGTTATTTAGATTATCAAATGATGCTCGTAACGGAAACATTGAATTATTATACGAGGAAGATTATAGAGAGGGCGAGAATCCTCTTCATTCTAATAGTATTACATCCATAATAGAATTACCAATTGAAGGTCAGGAAACAGTAATTGCAACATCTAATGTTGACTGGAGTATAAAAATGTGGAAATCAAGTCAGAAAAGTCCTATACTTCAAATACCTACTAATTATTTAATACTTGATATGAAATCTCGTCCTACTAACCCTTTGCAGTTTTTCACGTTGGGGGTTTTCAATCAAAGCCTGAATCATGATTTACGCCCCATAATTGACTTTTGGGATGTTAGCCGCAGATTGATGAATCCTATCTGTTCGATTTTACTTGATTCACAAATTGAAAGCAATGAGCACACCATAAATTCTAAACTTTATTCAACGTCAGCTAAATTTTATGATAACGGCAACAATATAATAGTAGGATTCAATGATGGTTCAATTCAGATCTGGTCTATTAATGACGTAATTTTGAATGAAGTGATTGAAAGTAGATCAAATAGTAATATCGATGATGGATTAATTGGATTTTTACAAAGAAATAAAAAAATCTGAATATCTGGCGTTCATTAAATAATATACATATATTGCATAGTAATTCTATACGAATTAAAGAAATTGGTTAAAGATTCTATCTCTAGACCTAATATTAATGTTACCTCCAATTTTGTTATTATTAGATGGCTGTTCTTGTTCGATTGAGATACAATCATTCGTTGCGAGGACTAATAACTCAAAGAAACATTTAGTTGCTTCTCTTCGTTTATTAACTCTAATATTTTCAGTTGATTTATTAACCAACCCTAATGGTAATTTAGTTTCATCTCTTTCAAGGATCAGTAAGTCTTTTTCTATCATTTCTGTTAAGTTTGTCACGTCCTCTGCATTATTAGAAAAGGTTCCTCGGAGCTGATCAGCAATCTGAATAGTTGATTTAGTTACAACTTCATTTGAAAAATCTTCTTCTTCGCTTTCTTCTTCAAATTGAGCAGATTCTAAAGCATTGCTAGTAATATCGGCTTCAGATTCTAATCCTGGTAATGAAATATCAAAATCTAAATTATTGTCAAAATCATCAAATTCTGGATTATCAGTTTGAGGCTGGTTATTATGCTCAGCTTGCTCTTCCTGGGATAATTCTAAACATCTTTGCTGTAATTGTTCATCTATATTCCACAATTTTCTTCTCTTATTGGCGTTATTAACTGGATTACTAAGATCATGAATTAATTGTATTTTTTCAGTCTCTGACAATCTTAAAGTCAAATATTCATCCAACGCCTCATTTCGTAATTGCAATCGCTGATTCTTTCTTAAACTTTCAATTGAAATACCCATATCCAATTCCTCATTTGAATCAACTTTCAATTTACGTTTTGTCGTTTTTAAGTCTCCTTCTTCAGTTATACCGACCAATTTTGCTCTGGGTCTTGCTGTAGGTGGTGGTGTAATTGGCTCATTATTATCCGAAGTTTCATTATCAACATCGTCTGCATTTAAAGTAGGTCTGGCTTCATCAATTGTCTCTAAAGGATTATCATCAAAGTCAAAGTCAAAGCCTGAATTATCATCATTATGTGCAGAGCTATCTTTATTCAAATCTGATAAGATGGATACATCGGGACTATTTTCTGGCAATTGAGATACATTTCTACCAACTTCTATCGATTGGTCAAATAAATTGTCATTATCATTATCCCCAAGTTCAAAATCTAGCTCCAAGTCGTCATCGATATTTGAATTATTCATTGTGCTGTCATTGAATCTGGGTATCTCGATAGACTGATCATAGTTAAAACTACTATCATTTAAAGAATTTGCGTTCGAAACTTGACTAAAAAGTGTGTTGGTGTTCGTTGTCCCTAAACCATCACCCAAGTTCAAATCATCCTGATACAACAAGTCAAAATCAGCTACCTGATCTGCCAAAGTAATGCTCTCAACATTAGACACGATTGTTTGTTGCGGTGCCAAGTTGATCAGGTTTTTAGACAATTCTGAACCTATCAAAACTCCTCCATTAGCATATTTGAACGAATTCTTTAATTTATATAAGATGTCATTCACATCATCTAATAAGTATTTCGTCTTTCTGGAATAAATTCGTACAATACCCAATAACAATTGTCCCGATAGTCTTAATGTTATTGTTTTTGCATTGTCTACTGTAGTGGTTTGTGAGACTTGGGAGCTTTGATAGCTAATGGGATGTGTTGATATTATATGGGACGATTGAATAATATTGGTATTTAATAATTGTTGTTTAGATAATCTCTTATCATAGTTAGCTGCCAACCAAACATGTGCCAATGGGCCTTGTTTTGACAACAACTGATCAGAATACATTGGGCCTTGTATCAAATGTCTTATGTCAATAAATAGTCCTTTTTCTAAAGCAAATCAACAATATCAAGGAACATTTCAAAACTTTTCATATTTATGTCCCATTTATATACGCGGATTTAATTAAGTCCAAGATATGCCGCGCGTTTTTGTGTCATATTTTTCAGACCTGATAATCAAGCCTTTTGTCATCGCTTAACACTTTAGCCACTGAAGACTAGCCAAATTGGCCACAATATAGGAATATCCATTAGCCAGAAGTGAGCCATGAACTTAGAAGAGAAGTTGAATAATTCACTCAATGATATATTGAAATCATCGGGATACATATTTGAAATAATACATAGTCGTAAGAAACAGAGTAACTTAATTACAGGACCGAATAATCAACTCATAACACCTGTTATAACATCACAATTAACTCATAGCATTACGAAATTTGAAGATATACTAGATGATACTATATGCAAATTCAATGATACCAAATGGTGTGTAGAACAAATGTTGCAGAATAGACAGAAACAAGAGGAGTTAAAACTCAAGGAAGAAGAGGAGAAACAAAGGCGAATAAAAGAGGACGATGAGAGAAAGCGACTAGAAGAAGAAGAGGCAAAGAAGCGAAAGAAAGAAGAGGAAGAGGCTGCCAGGATCAAAAAAGAAAAGGAGGAACAGCAAGCAAAAGAAGAAGAGCTTAAGAAGAAGAAGGAACAAGAACAAAAGGAGAAAGAACAAAAAGAAAGAGAAAGTCGCATACAAAATGAAAAGAAGACTGAGACCAATAATGATAACTTTGATACGTTTATGTCTCCAAGCTTTGAGTTCAATTTGAACGATTTACCCACAACGAATGAGAGAGGCATGGATATACCAAATCCGTCCGATATACTTTCAACGATTAGCTATGATGGCTTTTCCGAAAGCAAGGACCCTAAGAATCCCGATACCAATTTCCCAAACAACGAATCTAATAACAATAACAACGATTTGGACCTAGACATGAATAATTTGCTCGATAACGATGCGCTGTTACTAGATGGCTTGGATATGAATATGTTGGACCAGGGATTCGACGGCAACAATACGAACGGAAATGGAGTAAATAACTTACAGGATGAAGAATTTGATGTGGACAATTTCTTGAATCAATTTGGAGCCGATTAGCATGATTTTATATCTTTAATTCTATATGTACATATATATAATGTATCAGTATTTGTACTTGTTTCCTAATTAGGAAGTCTATACGCCCTCCAATCAAAATGCGTAATTCCGCACTGTACAATAATTTTTCAAATCGGAATACGGTCAAGGTTAAGGACCATAAATAAGTTAATTGGTGTTTTCAATACTGATTAATAGAATATAATAATAAGTCACATCATGTTTAGACAAACCTTCCGTCAAGTCGCTAGACAATCAGCCAATGTTGTCAGAAGAAGCTATGCCACTGAAGCTGCCACCTCCGACGCATTGAAATTATCATTAGCTTTACCACACCAAACTTTATACTCTGAAAGTGAAGTCGAACAAGTTAACTTGCCATCAATTAACGGTGACTTAGGTATCTTAGCTAACCATATTCCAATTGTTGAACAATTAAGACCAGGTTTATTAGAAATCATTTCCAAGGGTGGTGAAACCGAACAATACTTTGTAAGTGGTGGTATTGCTACTGTCCAACCAGGTAACAAATTGACCATCAGTGCCATCGAAGCATTCAAGCCAGAACAATTCGATGCCCAAACTGTCAAGTCATTAATTGCTGATGCACAAAAGAGAGCCAGCTCTTCTGACGAAGTTGTTGTTGCTGAAGCAAATATCGAATTAGAAGTTTTAGAAGCTTTACAAGGGGTTGCCAAATAGACTGGTTATTACAAAGTTCTCTTGAACTAATCCGTTAAACATATTTATATACCACTATTAATGGTGTTTAGTCATGACTAAGAGTTTTCAGTATCAGCAAATCAAAATTATAACAAAAAATTAAAAATAAATATATATTTTATAAGATAAGTATTCAGCTATCAAATGTATATTATAGTAAAGTATGACGTGTACATTCTTGGTAAAGTTGCCTGAACAATATGTAACTTTGCATCGGCGAATGTTCGAATTTTTTCCCGGAATAATTAGTGGGTGAAATATTCCACTAATTATTCCATAATACGGGGCAACGCATATCACCCAATTTCAAAAATATCCTTATTTAAGCTATAGAATCGACCATTTTTAATTTTTGATTAAAACATAATCAAGTAAACGAAAATGACACCAAACCCATCCTTAGTTTTAAACAAGATCAACGATATCACATTTGAATCATATGATGCCCCAGAAATCACCGAACCTACTGATGTCATAGTCGAGGTTAAAAAGACTGGTATCTGCGGTTCAGATATTCACTACTACACACATGGAGCAATTGGAAACTTTGTTTTGAAATCGCCAATGGTTTTAGGTCATGAATCCTCAGGAGTTGTTTCTGCCGTTGGAAAAGGAGTTACTTCTTTAAAGGTTGGAGACAAGGTTGCAATTGAACCAGGTGTGCCATCTAGACTCAGTGACGAATACAAAAGTGGACATTACAATTTATGTCCCCACATGGTTTTCGCTGCTACTCCTAACCCAGAAGATGGAGGCGTTAATCCTCCTGGTACTTTATGTAAATACTACAAAAGCCCTGAAGATTTCTTGGTCAAATTACCAGATCATGTTTCATTAGAATTAGGAGCATTAGTCGAACCATTGACTGTTGGTGTCCATGCTGCAAAGTTGGGCTCCATCAAATTCGGTGACGCAGTTGTTGTATTTGGTGCTGGTCCAGTTGGTTTATTAGCTGCTGCAGTAGCTACTAAGTTTGGAGCAACCAAAGTCATGGTGGTAGATATTTTCGATTCAAAATTGGAAATGGCTAAAGAAATTGGAGTTGCAACCCACACCTTTAATCCTAAATCTGGTAGTAACAAGGATTTAATTGCTGCATTTGACAATACTGAACCTTCTGTCGTAATGGAATGTAGTGGTGCAGAACCATGCATTAAAAGTTCGGTTGATATTTTGAGAGTTGGTGGACGCCATATTCAAATTGGTAATTGTGCTAAGCCCGTTTCTTTCCCAATGACAGAGTTTATTACTAAAGAATTGACTTTATTTGGGTCATTTAGATATGGCTTCAATGATTACAAGACTAGTGTAGCTATCTTGGATGAAAACTATAGAAATGGTAAAGAAAACGCGGCTATTGACTTTGAAAGCTTGATCACCCATAGATTTAAATTCGATGAAGCTATTGATGCCTATGACCTTGTTAAGGGAGGAAACGACTGTGTCAAGTGTATCATCAGTGGCCCAGAATGAATAATATAAGTATGTAATTTTTGCAATTTATAGGTATTAATTTTTGATCCTGTATATAATATATACTTCTGAAAATTTTAGTTCGATCACCAATAAAACCTTCAATAGTATTCATACGTTAAATTATATAGCGAAGCATACATTCGTTTATATATTATACATATATTTCAACCATGTCTTTAACATCTAAGGAAGCTTTCAGCAAGCTTCCACAAAAATTGCATAACTTTTTTATTAAATATCCTCCAAGACCATTCGCCGAATATTCTTCAAAGCCATCAACCATTCAAGATCCTAAAATGAACCCATTTTTAGCAAACAAAAATGTGGAAACTGGCAGATGGCATGGATCTAAATATTCGTTGAGAAGATCGGCCGATTTATTTAAGATGGCCTATAAGTTCGGTATTCAAGACTTATTACCACCACTTCCACAAAAGAAGTTCTACGAAGAAAAATATAATGACAAGAACTGGATGAGAGGTGTGTTGAACCAGAAGAAGCATAAATGGGAAAGAAACTTACCAGAAAAGATTAAACAAAAAGAAGCTGCTATTTCTGAAATGGACGAAATTATCATGGCTACTAGACCCAAATATAGAAAACAAGTCCAGAAAAGAGAAGAAACCAAGAAAAATTGGTGGTAGTATTTCTATACTTTCCTCTTACTGTTACAAACTACTAAATTCAATATCTTCACTTGTATATATAGATGTATATGAAATATCATAATGCTAATAAGACTAAATACCTGTACTCTAAAAAGCTCTCGAACCACCTCCTCTAGATCCTCCACGGCCTCCTCTAGTGGGTCTACCACCTTTTCTTCCTTTGTTGGTGCTGCTTGCTAAATCCTTACTACCTGGTCCCGAACCGTTTCCTTTTATCTTAACCACACTCCTAGCCAAAACATTATCAACATTTAGTTCATCCGGCAATAGTATCTGTCTTATTTGGTTACCTCTGATATTTATAAACTGTAATAGTTGGGGGTCTTGGTGAGGTTGACTCAATTTGATATTCTTCATAGATAAGTTCATCAGAGGTGAACACGACAATATTTGGCCATTTATAGAATTACCATTCTTCAACTCTACCGTTATAGGTTGGTTTGTAGCATTTGGCAAGTTCATCAAAAATCTAACTAATTTCATTTTCTTGCCTCGATTCTATTATATATGTCCAATTTAATGTTGCAATCTCTATCAATCATTAACATAAATTGTGATATTCGTATACAAGCGAAGACCTGTGTAAATTTCAGTATGATTTATACTAGATATATTTCTTGTATATATAGACAGTGTTCTGAAATATACTCCGTACTTTAAATTAGAAACACATAAGCAGATATGAAGGGTCAAATAAGCAGCTTTACGTTAACTATACGACACTCTTCTACGCTGCTGGAACACATTAGTTTCAATAATTTCAAATTTTTCACCTATTCCAATAGAGTTCGAATTTTTGTGTAATAACCATATTGTCCTGCGGTAACGATTTAAAGGATATTCATCTATCTACAGTAAATTGGTTCTACGAAGTAATAGCGATCGAAAGAGTATCATGAGTAATCAGTCACTTGCTGATAGCATAAGGAATATTCCACCTGTTACTAGATTTTTTACTATAACTACGGTAATTGTGTGCTTTGCCAACTCTTTAAAGATTATTCAACCACACCAATTAATATGCTACTTGCCATTATTCATAGATACGTTCAATGATACTTCGAGAACCATAAGTAATTCGAATATTGCAGGCAGTATTGGTGCTATCGTGGGGTTATTGGCTCAGAGTTATAGATTTTTTACGTGCTTTTTATTACCCCAAGGTTTGCTAACTGATCAACCTTTTCATGCCATATTGGACATCTATTTTTTCTATACATTTGCCAACCACCTTGAATCTCACACAGGAAAGTTCCGTCGTAATTTTCCTGATTGTCTTTGGTTTACCTTGGTCACTGGTACTATAGTTGTATTATTATCGTTAGTTTACAATGCGATCATTGATATAAACCATTTTCCTGTTCATCACCAAATGATACTTTCATGTGTCACATACATTTGGTCTCGTTCGCTGAAGAACTCTTTGATAAATTTCCTCGGGTTGGTGCCAATCAAGGCGTACTATTTGCCACTTTTCAATCTTTTTTTCAAATTGTTGATCAGTGGTTACTCTTCATTTTTGGATTCTGCAATAGGTATTTTCAGTGGATATTTGTATCAATGTTTTCAATCAGATACATTACCGATTTACAATCTATTCCCAGGTTCATATGCGAAGTACTTAACTTCCAATAGAGATACAAATGGAAGAAGAGTGGGTCAGTTAAACAATAATTTTGCTAGCATGGACCAGTCGGTAACTACAGCCGGAATTGATTTTATAGAAGATTCTATTTTTGACAAGGGCTATCTTAAAGCACCAATTTGGTTATATAAATTATTAAACTATCCAACCAACAACTCCAAGAGAACAACTGCTTTTTATCCACGTCCAGACACTACTTCAAATATCTCCGCTGGAACCCATGTGAACATAAATGAGAATACATCTACTGACAACTCAGGGTCTGGCACATCTACTGGATTTTCTTGGTTCGGACAAGGTAATGATCCTTTCAAAGGAAAAGGATACCGTTTAGGTGACTGAAAAATTATTTATAAGCTGCGCGCACGAGCCAGGGGGTCCAGGAATATATAGTCATATAAATATAAATTTATCTCTTCCAAATCTCAATTGGTACCTTATAGTAATAAATAGATTGTCTGATTAAGATGTCTGATCCTCAGCCATCAAGCTCGAATAATGGCAAACAACCTATGCGGAAGAATGACCCAATTGTTGAGCAAAGTGAGGGAACGAGGAAGACTAGCATCAGTAGCATTTCTAATTCTCCAAGCCTTAACCCTAGATCGTTGTCTAAATCCAGACGAAGATCGAAACAGCATCTAAGAAGACCGGCACCGGGCGGCTCAGCAAGTCAAAAATTGATTTTCTCTGTAGATGATGATCCTGGAGAAAAAGAGAATGTAGAAGCTATTAAAAATAAGGGTAAGCTTGAAAGGGAATACTTAGAAGGTTATAATGATGCTTTGAAAGCACTTTACCTGAAAAGATCAAGATACATAGTCAACCAAGATCCAAATACAAGTTACACACCAGTGTATGATAGAGATACTAGTGAAAATCAAACAGAGGTTGATGATATGTTGAAATCTACTAATGACGCCGAAAATATACATTCGTTTAAGTCTGCAAATATAGAATCGAATCTTATTAACAGTATAATATCTGCAAAGGAGAACTTGAAACTTTTAAAGTTTCTTGAAAATAGCAAAGATAATGAGCCTCCTATTGATCAAGTTTTGGGTGATGAAGGAGAAGGAAGCGGTAGTAACGATGATGATGACGAATCGATTAAATCTGGATCGTCAATTGAATCTTTAAATTTAAGAGAGAGACAAGATGCCATTAACTCTACACATCCTTTCGGTATTAAGATTTGGAAGCCATCATTGTACAAGAAGAAAAGATCTGTTGCTGCAAGAGCTGAAGAAGATATTCATGATTATGATTCTCATGAATCAACATATAGAATATTTTGGGGAGTATATGTTTGCAACTTCGTATGGTCAATCACTTTTGGGTTAGCTTTATTTGCATTATGTCTCGTTGGTGCATTTGTTGTGTTCATATTATCAGGCTTTGCAATTAATCGTCAGCTGAGACCATATGTAAAATTATTAGTCAAGTTAGGAAAATATTGGCTCTCTCCATTCGGTAAGTTTGTGCTTTTGACTAAGGATAAGAACTATTTAGATGAAGATCAATTGGAAGGAAGAACTATTTCTGAGTATCAAAAATGGAGGGAACAAGAGGAAGGTAGATTATTTTTTGCTCCACCAAGAAGATATACAAACGCAAATAATGAATCAGCACCACTTCTTAAGGATCACAAAGGAAGACCCCTAAGCGATGCATATTCTTCTCTTGGCACAGCTGATTCAAGTGCTAATGCTCTCGAAGATCCCTTTGAATCAGATGATGAAGAAGGGCAAGATTTAGAACTTGGTGATATCAAAAAGAGATTCTTTGGTAGAGGAAGTTGGTCTTCAGGCCGTTTTATGTTTTATTTATACTTTTACGTCATTTTGCAACCCATTATTTGGACAGTAGGGATAATTTGTTGGTTCTTTGTTTTCACAATTCCGATCGCAAATGTTGCAAACATATTATGCGATCATTTGAGACGTCATCCTTTAGCATTGCACTTCGAATTGGAAAAAGAATACTATGCAAACATCGCAAATAAAGATACTAGAAACAAGAGAAAACATCAACTGATTATCTTATGTACCTATAGGTGCTGTGGTTTACACTACTACAAATATACTATAGATGGAACGAACGTTTTCTTTTACAATTTGCTTGCGGCTGTTATATTTGTTATTTTTGACTATTTTGTTCTAAAAGAAAAATTTGGTTGGGAAACCTGGTTTACAGATTCATCGTTTTTATTTTGTGCTTGCTTGTTCTCCATTATACCTCTAGCATATTTTATTGGTCAGGCTGTTGCTTCTATTTCAGCCCAATCCTCAATGGGACTTGGTGCTGTTATTAATGCCTTTTTCTCGACAATCGTGGAAATTTTCTTATATTGTGTGGCTTTAAATCAATCCAAAGGCAAATTAGTTGAAGGTTCAATGATTGGTTCAATTTTAGGTGGTGTTTTATTACTTCCAGGTTTATCCATGTGTGGTGGAGCACTTAAACGTAAGACACAACGTTATAACCCTCGTTCTGCGGGGGTCTCTTCGACTATGTTATTATTTGCTATGGTTACCATGTTTGCACCATCTTTATTTTACCAAATCTATGGATCTTATGATGTGATGTGTAAAAAATGTGATACTAAATTGGATTTGGTTGACGCTGGAGATTGTACAAAATGTCGTTTTGTGCAGCCATCATTTACTTTGGATACCTTATATTATGCCATCATCAAACCTTTTTCTATGATTGTTGCAACCGCTTTATTTTCGGCCTACGTCTGCGGTTTGTTTTTTACCCTCAGAACGCATGCTTCTTTGATTTGGGCTACTAATTCTCATGAACAAGCTGTCCTCAACAAAAGAGATGACTATTTCAGATCACCTAGCATGGTTAGTTTAGACCCGTCATTGCAACTTAAATCAGGAAAACCACAGTTGAAACAAGTTAACTTGTCCCCCTCCATCTCGGCTGCATACTCTAGTGGGGTTGATTCACATAAGCCAAACAGTGCCTCAAAAACACTCTTGACTCAATCCCCTTCCTTGGATGCAAATAAAAGTCGACAAACTGTATCTCGTAATAATTCGGCCATGGGGAATGTAAATAAGCAAAAAGCTGCTAACGACAATGAAACTGGCATCAAAAATGCAAATAAAGACGCTGAGAGTGAAATAGAAGGGAATGTTGGTCACAATGCTGCTAATTGGTCCAGAAACAAATCTGCTATTATTTTACTTGGTGCAACCTTATTATATGCTGTAATTGCGGAGATTTTAGTTGATAATGTGGACGCTGTTTTGTCTGATTTCCCTATTAATCCTAAATTCTTAGGCTTAACTGTTTTCGCTCTAGTCCCGAATACTACCGAATTCTTAAATGCTATTTCTTTCGCAATAGGAGGAAATGTTGCCTTGTCTATGGAAATTGGTAGTGCTTATGCTTTGCAAGTTGTTCTAATTCAGATTCCCAGTTTAGTCTTATATTCAATTTATAAAGGATTTGATGATGTTGAGAAAATATTCTCTTTGGTCTTTCCAAGATGGGATATTATTGCTACTTTGATTTCAATTTATTTATTTACTTACATTTATGCTGAAGGAAAATCTAATTATTTCAAAGGTGTTATTTTAATATTGATATATGCAGTGGTATTAATGGGATTTTGGTACAATGATAAAATTGAGGACTTAAATGATGGTTATACTAATAAACCAGAACAACCTGGTGGAGGTATATTCTGGTAGAGTGAATCTTACAAACTTAAATTTTTATTTAAATTCTCTCTTATACTATTTGAAGCACCTGCTAATTAGGAATCAGACTATATAATTGGTGGCTAGTGTATTATAATTCCAAAAACATAGCAAATTTTGTACAAAACCTGTATATTTATTAAAGTATATAATCAATAATAATCGTATAAATCAGGTAACAAGATAAAGTCTACCTTCGTAAGGGCTTAAGGTGCTTTCATCTTCAACATTAACGTTTGAGTGTAATAACTCTAATTTGCCTCCATCCAAGTTCTCAAATTTCAAACTTTCTGAAGTAAAATTTAAAGCAACATATGCTTTCTGACCAGCAGTCTCCTTTACATAAGTAAAGATTTTTTGGTTTTCCTTATCAAGAATTTTGAAGGAACCATAAATTAACAAATCTTTATATTCCTTTCTAACATTTAAACTCTGCTTCCAGAAAGAGAATAAGGAATTTGGATCATTAACTTGTGACGCAACGTTAATTTCCTTATAGTTGTCGTTAACTCTCGTCCAAGGTTTTCCTGTAGAAAATCCTGCATTTTCAGTATCATCCCATTGAACAGGGGATCTTGCATGATCTCTAGCCAATAAATTGATGCTGTCCATCAATTTATCCATTTTTTCCTTGTTATCTCCATATTTAGCTTTGTATTCTTTGTAATAATTGATAGTGTTAATATCAAGATATTCATCAATAGACCACGTTCTTGGTAAATTAGTCATACCAATTTCTTGACCTTGATATATATATAAAGTGCCGCTTAAAGTAGACTGCAATAAAGCTAAAAGTTTTCCTGATTTAACTCTATACTTATTGGAGTCATTACCAAATCTAGTAATGGATCTTGGCTGATCGTGGTTTTCGTAGAAGACAGTGGACCAAGCATCCGTGCCTTCAATAAATGAACTTTGGTTTTCAACAGCCTTTTTGAAATCAGTTAATTTGTAGCCTTCATATATAAATCTATCAGCAGTGTTTGATCCAACTTCCACAACATCAAATAAAAACATCATATTCATTTCTTTTTCTTTTGCACTTACGTATTTCAAAGACTCTTCACGAGGTGAATGGCCAACTTCTCCCACAGTCATAGCATCATACTTCGATGTAACAGATGAAAACATCTCCTTGTGGAATTCATGAATTCTTGGCCCATTTTGGAAATACTTATGACATGGTTGCCATTCGGAATCTGGGAAAACAATTGGCGCATCTGGGAACGATTGGACTTTCGAATACATACCGGCAGTATCAATTCTGAAGCCATCGATTCCCTTTTCAAACCAGAATGATAAAGCAGACTTATAGATGGCTTTTCTTGTTTCTTCATTCTCCCAGTTTAAATCTGGTTGAGATTCTGCAAAAAGATGCAAATAGTACTCGTCAGTAGCTTCATCGTAAGCCCAGGCAGATCCGGAGAAATGAGATACCCAGTTATTTGGAGGATGTCTATTACCTTCAGCATCATAACGTGCAGGTTTCCAGATATACCAGTCTCTTTTTGGGTCGGTCTTGGACGATCTCGATTGTTTAAACCAATCATGTTCGGAAGATGTATGGTTAATAACCAAATCTAAAATCAATTTCATACCTCTTTCGTGTGCACCTTCAATCAACTTGTCCATATCTTCTAAAGTTCCATATTTTGGATAAACACTTTCGTAGTTTGAAATATCGTACCCCATATCATCTTGAGGAGAATCGTACATTGGCGAGAGCCAAATTACGTCAGTTCCTAAAGATTTAACATAATCCAATGTAGAAATAATACCTGGAATATCACCTACACCATCTCCATTTGAATCTTTATATGAAGCAGGCCAGATTTGATAAACAGTAGCGTCTTTCCACCAAATGTAGTCTTTAGTCATTATAATATACGAGTTAGTCTATTGATTTATATGATAGTAAATTTATTACTAATTAACATATCATTAAATTCAAGGCCAAGGTGCTTTAGTTCCCTTTAAATACTTAACGTTTTGGAACATGCATATTTACCCCCGCGATTGAATGCTCCACTATTACAACTGCACTAGCTTGCAAAATATTTCGCTGTTTTAATTCCAGCGATTAATTTTACGAGCAATACCGCGATCGTAGAATTGCCGCAATTTGCTATCGAATTATGTGGGGAGGCTACAAAAACAATTGACCCAGTTCTGTTTTATATATAGAACAATAGATTAATACGTTGTCCTTCGAGATTATTTCAAATATTCGGAATAAAAGGTCGTCTTTTAAATTCAACGTCGTAAATAAAGGGATCGTGCATTGTATCTGTACCATAACTACATTTTCGTTTTTAAATAAATTAGAGAATCCTCGTGAGTTTGATCGAACGTCATCATGTAAACGGTAAGTATGCTTATTGTAAACATTTTTAATTTGGGTCTAAAATAAAAGGCGGTTATAAGTAAAAAATCATGAACGGACCTCGAAATGACCACTTCTTCGCTCGTCGAACGGAAAAATTGTGCTGAATTTCTCCATCATGCACTATCTTTGCCCCACATTTTCAACTAAGCTCTAAATTGTATAACAATTAATACCAATACTAAGAAAAATGGTGTTGGGTACTATGCATAAAAACTCTACATGGTCAGGTTTGCAGGTGCCGAATGTCTAATTTTGTATGTATTGAATCTAATCACTCTATATTTCAAAATAATCAGTTAAATATGGTTTTCTCCATATTTGCCGGATCAATAGTGTCCCAGAGAGCCAATTTCATCTTGAGATTACTAGGGGCCAATTCTGGATATTCTTTCTCGATGGCTGATATTAATTCCTTGTATAGGAGTTGATACGCTTCGGAAGTAAAATGAATTCCATCAGATAACAACATGTCTATAAGAACACTCTGTTGGGTTAATTGTTCATCTGACCAGCCACCTTTCTTCTGGAACGCTGCCCATAAATCTAAAAACGGAACCTTGTGTTGTTCGGCTACTGATTTTGCAGCCTCAGAATAGGTTTTGTTATTTAAGCTCGATGAAATATCTCCGATGATACCATTGTCTGCGTACCCTTGTGGAAGGAGTTTAGGATCATGCAATCCAGGTCCTATCAATATGAGTTTAATATCATATTTCAATACCTCTTGTATCATTGAGCTCAAATTTGCTTTATATCTTGACAATGGTACATGTTGAACCGTGCTTAAAGCATCATTGGTACCAAGAAAAAGAGTCATAAGCTTCACCTTAGATGGTCCTTGATTTTCGACCTCTAATATCTTGGGTAGAATGATCTTGCAATTATCTGTATTATAACCACTAAACCCCCTATTCAAAACATCTAGTTTCCTCATATATGCTAATCATGTTAATATACGTCAATCAGATAAGAGTTATCTGCGGTAACGGTTACATACCTTCCTGCAAGGCAGATCCAAAAACAAAACCTGAACTTTGATCAAATCCATGTTGAGTAATTGAGTCACCAAATAATACTAGTTTATCAAAACTTAATTCCATAATGGTCTATATGAATCAACCGACATTATCAAGGATGTACGGAGCATCGTAATTTTTCTCTTCCTCGTAATTCGTGCAACGCTCATTTACATAGTCTTGATTTTCTTGAAAACTCTGGAAATCTTCAACCCTTACCTTATATCTTCAAAGACTAATAAAATGTCAGATACAAACTCGTATATAATCGTTATCAAGCTAGGGACCTCATCTTTGGTGGATGAGGTTACTAGGGAACCAAGAATTGCAAATATGTCACTTATAGTGGAAACTATTGTCCAACTTCGTCGCCAGGGACACAAGATCGTACTTGTTTCCTCTGGAGCCATTGCCTTTGGAATGAAAAGGGTTGGCATGTCTAGCAAACCAACAAAGTTAGCTGCAGTTCAAGGATTGGCGTCAATTGGTCAAGGTCGCTTAATTGGGTTATTTGATGATCTCTTCAGGCAAATGAATCAGACTATTGGGCAGATTTTACTTACAAGAAATGATATAAGTGATTTCACTCAGTACAAAAATGCTAAAAATACATTGCACGAATTATTGGATATGGGAGTGATTCCAATTGTAAATGAAAATGATACTTTATCAGTTGCAGAAATTAAATTCGGTGACAATGATACCCTTTCAGCAATTACTGCGGGTATGGTTCATGCCGACTATTTATTCTTAATGACGGACGTTCAATGTTTATACACTGACAATCCAAGGAAGAATCCAAAAGCAGAGCCTATACTTGTGGTAGATAAAGTTGATGATTTGGTTGTGAAGACTGATACAGAATCTGGCGGTTCCCAGGTTGGAACGGGGGGTATGACTACAAAATTAATCGCGGCGGGATTAGCTACTAATGTTGGTGTCACTACTATAATAACCCTTTCTAGTCAACCAGACTCTATTCTATCTATTGTGGCAAATATTCAGTCTATGGACAGAAGTGATTTATCCATTGAAGCTCAAACTAAATATATTGCTAGTGAGATTAAGGCAAACAAAATCCCTCTTCACACACGTTTCTTAGGGTTACCTCGTGCTACTAAGATAATATCTGATAAAAGATTCTGGTTATTACATGGAATAAAAACTAAAGGGGCTTTATATATTGATCAATTATGCTATGAAGCCTTGACTAGAAAAGACAGAGCTGGTTTACTCCCAGTAGGTGTTGTGGCTGTTGAGGGCAATTTCCATGAAAGTGAGTGTGTCTCAATAAATGTTATCCCTGAAAGATCTTCTCCTTTGTCTGAGGGCCTTGAAGTTGGAACCTGCAGAGTGAATTATAGTGCCATTGAAATAAATTTGATAAAAGGTTTACACAGTAGTGAAATTGAAACAGTTTTAGGATTCGCTGATAGTGAATATATTGCTCATAGAGACAATTTAGCATTCCAACCAACTTTACCTCCTTCTACTGAATCATTGTTTGACAATCATTAGCTTTATATTTCATAGGTAGTTTTCAAAAATTTTATATACATCCGTACATCAATAATAGATCTCTTAAAATGTACTGCAGATTGCTCATACGAATATCAGTATTGAACTTTCCGATCAATCTTATCTATTAGACCTATTAAACTTTCTTAGAGTTCAATAAGTATGGCCAATGACTATATCCAACTAGGTGGGATCAATGGACATCTATCGACATTTAAATTTCGGCCAATAATTACAGATATTGCGTCGTCTGTGCAAACGGAGGACGAGATAATTACTTGCATTGCATCTTATCAAGCTAACATCTATGTGGGCACTTCATTCGGACACATTTTGCATTATCATCACTTCGAAGATGCTTCCGATTATATAATGATTTCACAATTACAAATATCTCAGGATAAGAAACCTGTGAAAAAGATATTGATACTACCTCGCATTGAAAGAGCACTAGTTCTATGTGGTGAAATAGCTAACGTATACTCTATCCCTGAACTATCACCATCGCATATTGGTAAATTAAAGAGAATAGTTGACTTGCTGTACTTGTCTAGTCATTCTGCTTCAAAAAATTCTGAAGTACAACCTGGTACTGATTATGAGGAGGTTCTAATTTTAACAGATGATAAAATTAGAGTCATTCAAGTTAGCACAAAACAGATTAAATTACTCAAGGATATAAGCTATTCCAAGGCCATAAAATGTGCAGCATTTAGTTCTTTGAATATGCTGGATCGTAGCTCTTTGGCAGTCGTAGCAAATGACAAAAATTATGATATAATTGACTTGAAGCAGACTCGTAAGGTTCCTTTACTTGATTATCATATCAATACAGATGATGGAATTAATCCACAGATCGTCCCTTTTTTTCCAAGTGATGATGAAACTAGTGAAGAATTGTTGCTTACAATCAAGTCAGATGAATCTACGTCTATGTCGATGTTTATCAATTCCTCTGGTGATGTAACACGAGGAACATTATTATGGCCTAGCTGCGAACACCCCTCTAATGGTGTTGCAGTTGAATGGCCCTATGTGTTTGCTATATGCAAATCAAATGATAGAGAGAGTAAGATGATCGTTGCCTCTTTAATTTCATTGGAAACTGAATTTGGATGCCCCATTCAAAATCTTTTGAATAATGCGGCGAGCCGAAGTGATGCAACAGTTGTGGTGGTAGATTCCTCACAGATTACAAAGAAAGAAATTGAATCAGCTGAGATCAATGATGCGACGGAAGTTTCAACGAAAGAATTAGAGAGTGATGGTGCACCACCAAAACCTTCTTCAAAATCTGAAGATGATCTTACTGAAAGAAAAGATAAAGAATACAAAATATTGAAATTATACCAAAGCATACAGTTCAATGATAATGAGCTTTCGAATCTTCTAAATAAAATGGATATAAAAGGTGGCTCTGTTCTGCATTCAACTTCAAGTTACAAAATTGAGAGCACTACGGTAGTATACAAAGAAAACAGTATTTGGATAATGTATGAAATTAATCAGATAATTACTTTGACAAAGAAGATTCATGAAATGTCGTTAGACTCTTCTAATTTAGAAGAAATAAAAAATATATCAAACCAGTTGAAAGATATTATTCCAAAATGTACATATGAATTATATGACTATTCCACTCAACTCCTTTTCTTGTTATACCTTCGGGAAGGTAGTTATAGCAAGTGCATTCAGCTAGCGTTTCAAAAGATAGAAAATAATTCGAGCAACACTTCAAAGTTAAATCTTGACCCAAGATTTATAATATTTATTCTTGACAATATTCAGCATAATGACGCATTACTACTGAACTTTCAAATATTTACAGAATTACGGGATATAAGTCAACAATTTTTTGGCAAAACTACTCAAAACGGCCTTTTAATTGACTATGTGGAGAAGCTCTATACTGAATTTTTAATCAACACCGATAATACAGACGATGTGCTTTTACAATATTCTCGTATGAAATTGTATGAAAAAAAATTAGCCTCGAGTAAGCTTTTAATTGATTTTATAGACCACTATGATAAGAATATGTGGAAGGTTAAAGGATTAACGAACGATTCCATCCTAAAGCTTTTAAAAGATAGCGAAAGTTATTTTGGTTTATTACAGGTGTACCTCATATTGATTGACAATTCAGATAAAATGTTTAAAGTGGAAATATCTAAAGAAATATGTGATATATGTTTGAAGTTATTGAATGAGGAATTAAGTGATCCAGATGTAAAGGAGCCCCTAACCTCTGAAATTAATTTTGGCAATGTTTCTTTTAATTTGTTAGAATTAATTTTATCACAGCTTAAAGAAAATTTACAAGATGAAAAGGCCTACTCAAAATATTTGCTTGAAGTGTTGAAACTTGATCCTTCTGTTGCTTTAAAATTCATGAAAGCAAATAATAATAAGCAAAAGGCAACACATAAAAGAATTATGGAAGAAATGCCCCAATCATTTTCCAAAGAAGTAGACTTTTCACGTTTACGCTTAGAGTATATGGAATCTAGTTTTTTAGAGACCTTGGAAACAGATCTAGATTTAGAAGCTTTAGATGAATTTCTCATTGAAATGACCAAAGACATTGTTTCGAAACTGGAAGATGGTAATAAAAATAATTTCAACATTCTACACGAAACATACCAAATAGAGAACTCATTAAGTGATTCAAAATGGCCTAAAATAAGCTGGCCGGATTATTTAAGAGTCAATATGAAAAGAAGCGAATGCCAACAGTTTATTGATACTTATTTGAAGATCTTAGAACTCTTGATTGTTAGAACTATGAATAAAGATTCACTGTATGTGGATACTCTAAATAATTTTGAAGATATTATTTCCTCTGAAAATATATTTGACTACTTCAAGCTGATTTATGGTCAACGGGAAGAATCGCTTACAAGATTACTCAATTTCTCAGATTATTCTAGCGCTGAATACGTTGCCTTATATGATGAATTTCCTTTACCTGTATCAGCCTGCTATTTTAAACATTCAAAGTATGTTAGTTTGGGTATGTCTTCATACAACCATAAAAAGAGCAATTTAATTAATTTATTCACATTTTACATTGAGAGAGAAAACGATTTCCACGAAAACTTCCCAGCAATACAACATTTCATATCTACTTATGGCATTCTCTTTACGGTTGGAGAAATATTAGCAATGTTACCGACTCATTACCCAATAATTTATTTACAAGATTACTTGAGAAGCGTGATAATTGACTTGAATGCTGATCATAGAGATACAGACTTAAAAAAAATCTTAAGCAAAGTCGATAGTAAATTTACTCGAGATCTTTGTAATGATCTAGCATATGAGGAACGCCAATAATACGTCATTGAAAACAGTGCTTTGCATATTTAGATAATGTTTTTTTATTTAAAAATATTTAATTACATAAATCTAGAGATAGCCTAATAATAATAGAATATAGTCGATAACCATGCCAAACCAAAAGACATACCCTGTATTAATGTTACTGGTAAATGCTTTCCAGCAACTGCTTGGGTCATCTAAGTTAACATTTCTAATTTGTCTAAATAACCTTAAAAATGCCCATGCACCAAATACATAAAATCCAGGTCCCATTCCATTCATAATACCAGCAGTTGTAAATAATCCGACCTGGGCTGCAGAAAGACTGTTAAGTATAGGTTTGGTTTTGTCCCCCCATGCTAAAGCGGTTGATTTTATCCCAGCATGGACATCAAAAGCTTTATCCTGGTGGGCGTATATAGTATCATATGTCATACACCAAACGAAGTTAGATAAGAACAATGGGACTGCAACAGATAAGAGCAAGGGCGCCTGAACAGCAGGAAAACCTAATAAGCAGCCCCAACTATAGCATATAGATAACATTACTTGTGGATAATATGTAAATCTCTTAAATAAAGGGTATGCAGCAACAAAAGGTAAAGAAAGCGCTCCCAAGTAGAAGCATTCAAAAGGCAAACTCAACAAAACAGCTAATCCTGCAAAACATTGTACGGCTAACCAACCAACTGCTTGAGGAACACTAACTCTTCTGCTAGCTATTGGTCTTTCTATGGTACGTGCAACTTGATTATCTAGATTTCGATCCCATATATCATTTATGGTGCATCCAGCACCTCTCATTACAAACGCACCAATTGTAAACAAAGTAATAGCTGATAATGTTGTAGTTAACGGAGCTGCTACTGAATAAGCTGCCATGGTTATTCCCCAGAAAGAAGGAAGAAGCAAAAGCAAAGCCCCTACTGGTTTTTCAATTCTCATCAATTCAGCGTATGGAATCCACTTTTCGGGAAGGTTAGCTACCCATCCAAGGCCCGCCAATCTAGCCAACCGAGATGCCTCCAATTCTTCAGGAGTAAATCTTGATCTAGGATCTTTTGGTTCATTTCCTAAATCAACACTTGGTTTCTGAGGTTTATTACCACTATGTACTATTGGTTGTTCATCAAAAGTGCTTCTTTTAATTATAGACGTGGAAAAGCATTTTGAATGGGCTAGTAATGTAATCACTGGCTTGGTCTTTGTAAATCTACTGAAAGCAAACGATCTATTGAAAGCAGCATATTGCCATAAAATACGACCAGAAATCATTAGTAAATATGTTGTAGCACCTGCCTTCTGATAGAGATCTATTATAAACGAGGTTAATTTACGATGCACGCGATTAGCTAAAAATTAGTACTCATTCAGTTTGCTACACCCGTTATAGCAGATGCTCTATATAATTATGTATGAATATCAGTATAGCCATTAATGCGCCTAGGCATATTGTAAATCACTATCTTGTAGATTTCTATGTTTTAAATTTATTGTAAATCACCCAGTGATTATAATCAGATCCTATACTTGGGGATATCTAATCAAAAATACAAAAAGCCTTGTACTTCAATTATCAAGCTTCACCTTTGAATGCGGGTCTATAATCAATAATAGTGCATTTAGAGGTATATCAAAGACCCATTTTTGTATATTATGCCTTATTCAACGGTACATATTATTCAGACATTTGTAAATCAGCATCTTCTGCCCTGAAAGATTCGAAATCTTGTTCACTGTTATTTTGTATTCCTTCTCTCATGACATTATGACCGTCAATCAACGTTTGCAAGTTGTCAAATTCACCAGCTACTGCTTCATCAGTTTTCCTAAACGTAAATATCTGCCTGCACATCGGACAAAGACCTTTGGAAGTATCTTGTTCTAACCACTTCAAAATGCAATGTAAATGAAAGTTATGCGTGCATCCACCTCCTAATACTAATGGGCAATCATCTCCAGGATACTTGCAATTAGGGCATGTTCCATCAAATGAAACACGACAAATCCCACATAATTCATCTACATAAGCGCTTTCGTTCTCCAGACCTTCAGAAGGTGCCAATTTCCAATGCCATGTAGTAACCCCATGCCATTCTACTATATTGACCTTCATCGCTTCAACTTGTGTCAAGTCGGATGCGCTATGATCTCTTAATAAACACTAATTTTATTTATATACAACAGATGATTTTCGCATTATCGCACGAATGCAAAAACGAACTATATTACAATTATTACAAGTAAAATTATATACAGCTATCAAAACATGCTCTCTATTGATAAATCAGGTAAATATACCCTCTTTGTTCTTTTTAAGTTTTCTTGTAGACTAATCCTTTGAAAATATCAAATGAGTTCCCGTCAGGTTGCAATTCTAATGTTTCGCCATTATTGATATCTTCAGCAATAAGCAATCCGTAATCAGACGTAATACCTCTGATAATACATGTTCTTGTCTGGCCATTCCCGTGGGCATCTAACTTCACGGTTTGTGAAGAGTGGAACCACCTCTTGTAATATAATGGTAAAAATGGCTTAATACCAGAATGCTTAAATACACTATAGAATTGGTCTATAGTGTACATTAATTTTGCCAATAATACTTCATGCTTGAACGGAGGTAATGGACTCAAGCCATTTTTTTCTCTGATTTCATTTAACTTTGCTAATACAAGGTTAAGAGATGTGGTGGGAGCAGAATTTGAAACATTAACACCTACACCCCAAACTAGATGGAATTGGTTATTCAAGAACTGTGAATTAATCAAAGCACCCGATATCTTTGCATATTTCTCATCATCTCCATCAACAGTCTGGGTGAATTCATTTTTGTCGTCTAAAGAATTGAAGTACTCTGGTTTTAACGCAAATATATCGTTAGGCCATTTGATTTTGACTGGCAAGTCTTCATACCCTACACCATTTCCTGGTTCTATGCTACCATATCCTAGTATCAGCTCAATCAAAGCTAATCCGCATAAATATTGTAGCGTAACGATAGAAGAGGATTGGTTCTGGCCCGACGGAATCTTGAACAATATAGATTGTGCCATCACGCCTTTAGGATTAATCCAAACATTACCTCCACGTCCTCTTCCAGCTACCTGTGTCGTTGCTGATAACGTGAATCCATTGGGTAAATGACGGAGCAAATGAGGATTGGACTCAAGCATGGCATTAGTCGAGCTAACAACCTCTCCATACCCAAGCATGGATCCAAAATCGCCAACTTTACCGCTGTACTTACTCAACATTCCTAATGTTTCAAAATATGTAGACATGTCAAAATAGGGCGTTTCCTTGCTGCTAGGTAAGTTTCTAGATGTAAACACTTTGATGTGCTTGACAGCTGCGTGTGGATCTTCAATTTCATTTGTTGAATCAGAAGCATAGCTATTTATTTCCTCTGTCTCTTCGTGGAAGCTGAAAGTATCGTGATTATCTTCAAATGTATTACCATTGACAAAATCAAGATTTTCTTTCAAATCGCTCATCAATTTAGTCATGTTTGTTGGGTTTAGGTTAGACAGCAAATAGATTGGTGTTATCTTGGGAATCGACGTATTCACATCCTCATTAACACGCAAACCCAATTTGAGTAAGCATTCTTTCATGAATACTTTTCTGCCATAATCATTTTCGTTTAATGTATCAATCACTTGTTGAAAATTCCGATCGCCATCGGAGGAACTCAATAACAGTGGAGTGAATTCTGGATGAGATCCAGTCAATAATACATCCCCTTTCCCAACTTTGCAGTATATAACTGCTGCCTTCTCTTCATCTTCCACATCTAGTGGCTCGGTGTATCTAGCCAATATTTCCACATTTGAATATTTTGATGCATTCAAAAAGACACATCCTCCATTATAATAGTTATATGCTTCTGGAACACAATTCAGCAATGCATTTGTATTAACTGCCAATTTAGTAGCTTTGGCTCCTCCGTGTGATTCATACATGAAGCCCTTATAAGCACATCCTTTAGCAATTCCTGGAAAGAATCCCAATTCTCGAGAACCTGAAACCTCCATTTTTGGATCACCTACTTCAAACTCAACCCTACTAGAAGAATAATATCCACCAGCACAAAATCCAATAAATTTACCTCCTTTTTTGACGAACTGTGAGATCTTTCGATTACCATCCCCATTTAAAGCCCGACAAAATGGTAAGTCTGCTCCTCCTGGTAAAACCAATAACGAAGTTTTATACATCCACGGGTCGTTCAATAATGAGTTCTCTGAGATAGAAGTGACTGCATTATAAGGGGATAAGTGAAGTCTTAGTGTCTCTAAACAGTGCTTCACGCTTTCTGTAGTAGTACCTGGTCCCGAATAAACTAGGACATTCATTTTGTTAACAAAGCGACCGAGAATTTTGTTGTTAACAGTAAGTATATTCACTTAAAAAGAACTATAACCAAGCGTTAAGTTCAACAAAATTTTGCACACTTAAATGTTGAGTTATTAGGCCTAGTGACTCAAGAGTCAACTACGATACGATACCAAATTCAACTGTGCGTGTAATTCCCATCGCATCTCACAATTTATAACGACTACTAACAAAACTACAACATATAGAGTACTTAATAGGAAAATAATGGCATTGATAACTGAGCAAAGTGAATCCATCCAGTTGAATCCGATAGCTGGATTTGTTATTAAGACTAAAATTATATCCGCTAACGATACATTGGCGCATGCTTTGTCAACCAAAGTTTTTATTAATGTCTGTCATGACACTCAAGTACCAAAGCCAGCGCAGGATTTTGACCCTTCCGTTATATTCCCATTGATAATTGAAAACCAATGGGAAATCCCATTAATTGTGTCAAGAGAGAAGCATACTAAAGACAAAAAGGGCCAACCTTCTTTTGTTTATGATTGTTGCATCAACACCTTGTGTTTTCAATGGTGCCAAGTAAATAGTGACTTGAGGTCTATTTTGATTGAATGGTGCATTGAATCTATTGAGCTCTTGTTTGATGTTATTTTAGAGAGAGAATATTCTATTCCCAAGATGCTCTCCAAAGGAGAGCTTTCGCAGACAAATATTTTGAAGAATGAACTTGACGAATCAGGCTTTCAGAAGAAATTGCAAAGCCTAAAGAAAAACGAAACTTTGGGATTAATTGAAGAACTTAAAGATAGAGATCAGGACGATATGGACCAAGATGAAGATATGGGCCCATTACCAGATTTGATGAACATCAATGCAAAGGATACAGGCATGAGCTCCAAACCTTTGATTCAAGAAATAAGCGATATGCAAATAGATGTAGAGAAGAAGAAACCCATAGCACCAAATAAGGAGTCTAAGACTCAAAGCACTAACAAAAGAGACCTAATCGCATCATCTCCTGCAATCAAAGAAAAATTGAATTACTCGATCATTTTCAAAAAATTATCTGAGAGGCATCAGCTACTTGTGAAGTTTGAATGTACCAATTTAAAATCATCTACCAGTATTGAACTATCATATCTCTCGAGTTCACACGCATTGGTCCTAAATAATTCAGATGCTCAGTATTATTTTAACAAGTCACTGGCAAAACTGAAAATGGATACCTTAGATATACCCTTACCTCAAGATGTAAGTATAGAGGAGGGGCATGTTTTCAATAGTTTCTATGTTAAACAGGAACACAGCTTATATATATTTTGTTAGTGTGTCGCAATTATATACCGCATTGGGAAAGCCGCCAAACGAGAAGATTTTGTGCGTTTATCTCACCGATAGTACTTATCTATTTAAGATGATGTTAAGATTCCATTTACTGAAATTTTTACAAATAAATAATGATTAAACGATGAATGCTGAAGAACCATTGCTTACAGGAGCACATCGTCATGAACAATATGACTCTTTGGCACAAAAGCAAAGTTCGCAAAAACCTGAAGACGATATTACACCAAAGTCAGAATTACGGTTTGTCCTTCGTTCTTCAGGTCCTTTAGTCATTACATTTTTCTTACAATATCTCCTTTCGGTGACAACAATATTCTCTGCTGGTAAGCTAGGACCAAAAGAGTTAGCAGCTGCATCATTAGCCGTTTGTACGTTCAACATCACGGGATTAGCAGTGTACCAGGGAATGGCCACAAGTCTTGATTCTTTTTGTTCTCAAGCATATGGTTCAGGAAAGTTGCATAACGTCGGTTTATATTTCCAAAGATGCTCTATGATGATGATGGCACTTACCCTCTTTCCATTGGTTTTTATTTGGTGGCATTCAGGTGTGCTTTTAGAATTTTTGGTACCAGACCCAGAACTAGCACATTTAACTCAGACATACTTAAGAATAAATGCCCTTGGAGCTCCGGGATTAATACTATTCGAGACTAGCAAAAGATTTTTACAAGCCCAACATTGCTTTAACGCAGGAACATGGGTATTGCTAGTTGCAACACCACTTAACTTTGTTTTGAACTGGATATTAGTTTGGCATCCTACCTATGGTTTAGGATTCGTAGGAGCCCCGTTGGCAGTTTCAATTATATACTGGCTCATTTCGTTCATGATGTTAGCCTATGTCTTGTTTGTTGATGGGAAGAAATGCTGGGGTGGACTTCAATTATATAAAGCATGTAATAATTGGTCACCAATGCTCAAATTGGCTTTACCTGGTGTTATAATGGTTGAAGCAGAATACTTAGCATTTGAGGTTTTAACTATATTTGCAGCTTCTTTCGGTACAAATGCATTAGCAGCCCAATCTATTGCATCGAATGCAGGAGCTTTAGCGTTCCAATTACCCTTTGCTGTTGCCGTTGCTATTTCAACCAGAATTGGACATTTTGTGGGAATGAAACATATTTCTGCAGCAAAGTTAGTGACCCGTATAACTGTTGTATTATCAGCTTATATTGCCGCTATTAATTTTTCATTCATATTTTTCGGTAGGCATCTTTTAGGCAAATTATTCACATCATCCAAGGACGTATTGAAAATCAGTGATAAAATCTTAATTTTGGTCGCCATAAACCAAATTGCTGATTCCTTTAATATCTTGGGTGCTGGTATCTTACGGGGTCAAAGTAGACAAAGTATCGGCTCGATTTTAAATATGATATCATATTATGTGATCGCATTACCAATAGGATATGCATTAGCATTTAAATTCGACTATGGATTGTTTGGCTTATGGACTGGCTTAATTTTAGGTGTCTTGTTTCTAGCTATTACAGAATTTATATGTATGTGCCGTAGTAATTGGTTACAGATATTGGAAGAATCAAATGGCAGACATGATAATTAGTGTTTATAGTTGCAAAATATAGAATTTAGATAATAAGACTTATATTGAAGATGAGATAAATATGCAGTACAAAATTTTTTATATAATTTTTTTTTTTTTTGATAACTACTTAGTACATAGAATCAGGTATTAATCTCCAATTACGAAATACCAACGTTCTTTTAGACTATTATGCCACCAAGAAGGAGATTTGACAAAAAGTCTGCAAAGACTTTCTCTATTGTTCATAGAGCCCACGACGATGCCTTATATTACGATAATGAGGCTTCGGAACATGTGCTTGTTCCAGCACCAGGACAAGAAAAGAAACATAGCAGGATGGATGCTAGCAATAAGAAGAAGGTTTATTCAACTTCTGATTTAGAAAAGAACTTGACTCCAGAAGAAATCGAGAAAATAAGAGGAAATGAAGGTTTAGCAGCACAATTTGGAATTTACTTTGATGATTCGAAATATGATTATATGCAACATTTAAAACCAATAGGAGTAACAGGAGATGGTGTTTTCCTTGAGCGTAAAAGTGACGAAAAGGAGAAAAAGAAGCCAACAAATATTGAGGATTTGTTTAAAGACCAATTACCTTCTGAACAGAAAGTGAAAATTACACATGATACATTTGAAAATATTCCACTGGATTTGAGGGGATTTAAACCAGACATGGACCCTCGTTTAAGGGAAATATTAGAGGCTTTGGAAGATGAAGCATATATTGAGTCAGGTCAACAAGACGCGGAAGATGAGGACATTTTTGCTAGTTTGATAAACTCTGGGCAAGTAGAAGATGAAGACGAATTCTATTACGGCTCCGATGCGGACCAATTTTATGAGGATGAAGATTATGATGAATGGGATCTTGATAACTATAATGAAGAATATGATGCTAAGTATGCGTCAGATGAATTGGAAGAACAAGATATGCCATATAATAAAGGTGAAGCTCCAGAAGATTCAGTGGAGGAAAAACCACCTACCTTTTTGAATACAAACTGGGAAAAGGATTTCAAGAAATTCAAGATAGACAGTAAGAACAAAGCTAACGATTGGGATTCTGATGATGATTTTGAGGACGAGGATGAAGACGTAGTTCCAGAATTGCCGTCATTTAATGGTAACAATCTGTCAAATAAAAAGTTATCCAAAACTAAATTGAGAAAGAAGAAAGGTGCTATGACTGATACATCATCCTTTTCAATGTCGTCATCAGCTTTGTTTCGTACTGATGGCTTGACTTTATTGGATGATCGTTACGAGCAGTTGACTAAGAAATTCGAAGATGAGGAAGACGAAGATTATCAAGAATTTGATATGGATAAAGAGAGAGGTGATTTGGAAGGCATGCTCGATGATTTTTTGAATAATTATGAATTAGAAAGCGGTGGAAGAAAGTTAGTCAAGAAGGACCAAGAGAGACAAAAATTACAAGAAGCTGCTGACTCTGTTTCCAAGGGTAAGCTCGCTGCAAGGAGGAAGAAAGAAAAGCAAGCCCAAAAGGATCCTTTAGGGACCTTAGGCGGTTCTTTCGGAAATTTAAAGATATGATTATTCATAAATGAAAGAATAATATTGATACTGATAAATCAATGAAGATTTGACCGACTATCGTTTGCAACTCTAACCTAGCTAAAGCCCTGAATGTGTTCTCTGCATCCACCAAAGTAAAAATGCTATTGGTGCAACCTCACTAGCTCTCCTAATAATTATATATAAATCACATTTTTTTAGCTATATATGTATATAGAGACAATATTGCATGCTATAATATAAAGATCAAGTATCATTTAGTATATTCTTGTAGATAAAGGTTCACTTATAGAGTATAGTCCTATATCTGATAGATTACTCTCCTCACGTGTAAAAGTCGGGCGAAATTTTTGCTCATTTTTTTGTCATTTGAAAGTGATAAACAGGACTACCTCATTGGAATTATAATCCAATATTATCTTGATCATTATATTAGTAGGCCATTGATCGACTACAATCTCATTAGATTCGTCCAAGTATAAAGTGCAGAAATTTTCAAGATTAGTCTCCGGCTCAAAACTTTTTTA